ACCATGCCCAACTCAACATGATCATCTGAAGAAAGAAACTGAGGAAGACTATAGAAAGTGGAGAGATCTCCCATGCTCATGGATTGGTAGAATCAACATAGTAAAAATGTCCATACTCCCAAAAGTAATCTACATGTTTAATGCAATTCCCATCAAAATTCCAATGACATTCATTAAAGAGACTGAAAAATCTACCGTTAAATTTATATGGAAACACAAGAGGCCACGAATAGCCAAGGCAATACTCAGTCAAAAGAATAATGCTGGAGGTATCACGATACCCAACTTCAAACTATATTACAAAGCAATAACAATAAAAACAGCATGGTACTGGCACAAAAACAGACATGAAGACCAGTGGAACAGAATAGAGGACACAGATACAAAGCCACACAACTATAACCAACTTGTCTTTGACAAAGGAGCTAAAAATATACAATGGAGAAATAGCAGCCTCTTCAACAAAAACTGCTGAGAAAACCGGTTAGCAGTCTGCAAAAAACTGAAACTAGATCCATGTATATCACCCTATACCAAGATTAACTCAAAACGGATCAAGGATCTTAATATCAGACCACAAACTCTAAAGTTGATACAGGAAAGAGTAGGAAATACTCTGGAGTTAGTAGGTATAGGTAAGAACTTTCTTAACGAAACCCCAGCAGCACAGCAACTAAGAGATAGCATAGATAAATGGGACCTCATAAAGCTAAAAAGCTTCTGTTCATCAAAAGAAATGGTCTCTAAACTGAAGAGAACACACACAGAGTGGGAGAAAATATTTGCCAGCTACACATCAGACAAAGGACTGATAACCAGAATATATAGGGAACTTAAAAAACTAAATTCTCCCAAAACTAATGAACCAATAAAGAAATGGGCAAGTGAACTAAGAAAGAAATTCAAATGGCCAAAAAACACATGAAAAAATGCTCACCATCTCTAGCAATAAAGGAAATGCAAATTAAAACCACACTAAGATTCCACCTCACCCCTGTTAGAATAGCCATCATCAGCAACACAACAACAGGTGTTGGCAAGGATGTGGGGAAAAAGGAACCCTCTTACACTGTTGGTGGGAATGTAGACTAGTACAACCACTCTGGAAAAAAATTTGGAGGCTACTTAAAAAGCTAAACATTGATCGACCATTTGATCCAGCAATACCACTCTTGGGGATATACTCAAAAGACTGTGACACAGGTTGCTCCAGAGACACCTGCATACCCATGTTTATTGTGGCACTATTCACAATAGCCAAGTTATGGAAACAGCCAAGATGCCCCACCACTGACGAATGGATTAAGAAAACGTGGTATCTATACACAATGGAATTTTATGCAGCCATGAAAAAGAACGAAATGTTATTTGCTGGTAAATGGATGGAATTGGAGAACATCATTCTGAGTGAGGTTAGCCTGGCCCAAAAGACCAAAAATTGTATGTTCTCTCTCATATGTGGACATTAGATCAAGGGCAAACACAAGGGGATTGAACTTTGAGCACATGATAAAAGCGAGAGCACACAAGGGAGGGGTGAGGATAGGTAAGACACCTAAAAAATTAGCTAGCACTTGTTACCCTTAACGCAGAGAAACTAAAGCAGATACCTTAAAAGCAACTGAGGCCAATAGGAAAAGGGGACCAGGAACTAGAGAAAAGGTTAGATAAAAAAGAATTAACCTAGAAGATAACACACACGCACAGGAAATCAATGTGAGTCAATGCCCTGTATAGGTATCCTTATCTCAACCAGCAAAAACCCTTGTTCCTTCCTATTATTGCTTATACTCTCTCTTCAACAAAATTAGAGATAAGGGCAAAAAGTTTCTGCCGGGTATTGAGAGGAAGGGGGGGAGAGGGAGGGAGCGGAGTGGGTGGTAAGGGAGGGGGTGGGGGCAGGGGGGAGAAATGACCCAAGCATTGTATGCACATATGAATAATAAAACAATAAAAAAAAAAGAAAAAAAAACCCAAAACAAAACATGATCATCTGTATTTATATCTGTAACTAACTAACTATCTATCCATCTATGTAATCTGCATACACACATTGTGGAATAGCTAAATCAAGCTAACACATGAATTACTTCACATACTTACAACACAAAATTACAATATAATACAAAAATTACAAGTCTTAGAATCTATTAGTATTTTTAAGTATACAACAGGTTTTATTAACTAGTCACCAAGTTGTACAATAAATTTCTTTAACTTATTCCTGCTGTCTAAATAAAATTTTGTATGCTTTTTCCAACATTTCTCTTGGTAACCATTTTACTTTAGATTCCACAAATGAGAATATGCATAATTTGTCCTAATGTGCCTGGCTTATTTCACTTAACATACTGTCTTCCAGGTTCTGCAATGTTATTGCAAATGATTGGATTTCATTCTTTCTGAAGGCTTAACAGTATATTGAGCATATCTATCACAACATTCATCCACTGATGGACAATTAGGTTGATTACGTATCTTGGCTGTTGTGAATAATACATCAAACATGGGAACGCTGATACTAATTTTTTTATTTGGCTATACCAGCACTGTAATTGCTGGATCATGTAGTGGTAGTTCTATCATTTCTTTTTCTGCTTTTTTGAGGCCCAGGCTGGCCTCCAACTTGTGATCCTTCTGCCTTGGCATCCCAGGTGCTGCTGGGTGTTATTTATTTGAGACAGGGTCTTGTTATATAGCCCAGGCTGTCTGTTGACTGGGAATTGATTTTTTTATTATGGGTATAGGTTTGCCTTACCTGCCTATAGAGCATCAGTCAGCACCACCATCCAAGGGTTTACAGAATTTTGATCCATTGGCGTGAAATCTTGCAAAATATTGCGAGAAACCCACTCTGTAACAAGGAGGAAGAGCACTGACATGTGACCATGGGGTCATACTACTTAGAAGGTGTCCCCAGGAGTTAGGAACAGCCTGTTGAAGGCACAGCTAAGATACCAGCTTGGAGATGATACCCTAAAAGGATGAGACACAGTGCTTCAGGATACAATATATATCCTAAATCAATGTGTTATATATATTCTAAATCATAGTATTATATCCCTAAGTAAAATAATATAAGTCTAGAAAACAAGGGGGTAAACATAAGACCAGCCCTCTACTATTCTCTCTCCTGGTGACTTAATTAGGAAAACTGTGTCTCCTAGTCAAACTCTGGGCTCTGAGAGTTTAAAAATTCTGGTTCCCCAAAAGGGTGTATTTCTACCAGTGGACACACCAAGAGTCTCATTAAACATTAAGCTATGGCTACCACCAGATTACTTTGGATCACTACTGAGACAAGGAGTTAATAAAGCAAAGAGTCACTACCCTGGCAGGAGTAACTGACCCTGATCATCAGGGAGTATGGCTGCCATTATAGAGTGGGGGCACCCAGGCCATTCACTTAAATATCTTGTTTCTGTCTTGCCCAATTTTGATAAATGTTATAGTCATGGCTTGAGAAGGACATGATGGTCAGGTACCTAATCAGGACCTGGACCAGCAACAGTACAAGTCTGAGGAAGTCAGGGAAGGAAACTAGAATGGGTTGTAGAGGAGTGAGATGAATGCCTGTTGCAGACTCAAAATAAGCAGCAGAGACTGGTTGGTCCCAGACTTTCAAAAAAATTAGACCCATCAGAATCCTGAAGAAACCATTCCAGAACTTATGAAGCAAACAGTTCTGAGTAGTGCAGGGAGTGGACTCTAATGGTGACTATGGTATACTGCCCAGAGTTCCTTCTTCAGGACTGAAGCACTCATTCCGTAAGCTGCTAACACTGACAGATCTCTCCTGAGCCTTTCCAGGAATTGCTTTTGGCTGATGTCAGGCACCTTACTCAAAAGTCATGCTCTTTTCTTAGTTAAGTAGAGATATGTAAATCCAGCCCATTTTCCCTATTTAGGCATCCTGATAAGCATCCTAGTTTGAGCTCCCTGTGGAATTGGTTAAGGCCTTTTATTGAAATGGCATCAGCTCAGTAACTCCCTCTACCCTATCCTGCTTCTTTCTGTCCCCCACAGGTGATAATTCAAAGGACTCTACCTCCCACACTCACCTTCCTGGGCAAAATCTTCAACTGTTTTTGCAAAGAACTCAACCTTTGACAAGTCAACATTTTTATTTATTTATTTATTTTTGTTTTATTATTCATATGTGCATACAATGCTTGCGTTATTTCTTCCCCCTGCCCCGACCCCTGAGAAGTCAACATTTTGTGATTAGCTGTGTGAAATGTGCCTGCTGCTCAATTTTGGAGACATGATGGTAGTAATACTGAAAAGATGCTATGCTAACTAAACCTTCCATTTTAAGAGTAATAGGGATAGTGATCACTGACATGGCAAATTTCAAGCAGTACCAGTGCTAGATCTGAATAGTAAGCGTTCCGGAAAGAGTCAAGTTGGGTATAGTCATTAGTGCAACTACTGATGACAGACCTCTCAGTTGGGATGGGATGAATGAAAATGCTTGAAATTGGTTCAGAGTGGTAGGTGAGCAAATAGGAGAGTAAAACCAATCTCTCTGGACTTCTTGGTAAGGAGAGCAAAATGAGTCAAGTCTCATTTTTACCTCCTTAGTCTCATATGACCTCACAATTATACTTCAGTGACCTTGACCCAACCCAACTGTCAATAGATGGTCCTTTTTCTATTATTTCCTTCATTTCCCATCAAGACATCTATTCCAGCCAGGTGTCAGTTGCTCATGCCTATAATCCTAGCTACTTGGGAGGATGAGATCGGAGGACTGCAGTTCGAGGCCGGCCCAGGAAAATAATTCAAGAGACCTCCAAGGGCTGATGAAGTGGGTCAAGTGATAGAGTGCCTGCCTAGCAAGCACGAGGCCCTGAGTTCAAACCCAAGTACTGCCAAAAAACACTAAGCACAGCTATCTTCAGCACTAAATAAAACAATAAATAAAAATAAGATTTAGTTAAAAAAAAAAAAAAAGAGAGACCTCCAAAATAACCAGAGCAAAATGGGCTGGAGATGTGATTCAAGCAGTAGAGTACCTGATTTACAAGTACAAAGTCCTGAGTACAAACCCCAGTCCACTAAGAAAATAAAAAAGACATCTATTCCAGAATGACCAAAGAATCTTAACCTTGGTGTAGAAATCAAGGTTTTTGTTTCTTTTGCAGAATTTTAGGAGCTTGATGAAAAACAATACAGAAGTTCTCTTTTTAAGCTTCTTTCATCCCAGCTTCATTTTCTCTATCAATTATCCTTAGGTCTTATTCAGATCTTCTTAGACTCAATTGTGCTTACTCACATTGATGACTTTATCAATATATCTAGCAATAAATTCTAAGACCAAAGACATCATTAGCTTATTCAGAGGAAGCTGCTCATAGAGATGTAGTGAGCTAATGTATTCTCTCCTTTTTAGCAACAAGACCTTAGTGCTTACAGAAGATATCTCACTTGTATGTCCTGTTGCCAGTTTACTGAAGGCCAAACAACACCTAAAAAGATCACACGTCTTTATTTGTAAATGAGAAAACAAATGTTCAGTTCAGACAAAGAGAGCCAAGTACTAGAGATAATGGCTAGCTCTTTCATTTGTTCCAGTAAACTCCAATGGAGGAAGAGGCTCAATAGGATCTAAACTATTTTAGTCCACTGATACCTGCTTATCAAAACCACAGCCTAGTACTTGAGCACAACTGCCCAAATAAAGCTGGATGTGACTACAGCTGGAGGTGAAGATGGCAGTATGGAGAATTCAACATGTACATGCTGTTCAGTCTGACATGTTCATATATTCTCTTAAATCCATTATTTGGTCAGAGGTGGGAGTGAGATCAGGGTGCTGGCCCATTTTGCTCCATTGTTCCTGATTCTGCTTTGCAGTGTTGGAAGGAGAGTAGGTTTAGACTGTCCGGGAGCTGGTGGGGGTGGTGCCCGTGGCAGCTTGCTGGGCTAACCAGTACTTATATCTTTTGGTCTTGGGCTTCTCAAACATCACAACAGACATGGGAACTCTCACAGTGTCAAGCCCATTTACCTGAACATAAAAACAAAAACAAACAATAACAACAAAAAAACCAAACAGAAGTCCTCAGAGACCAGTTAGGCAGAACTAATACCACCCAATCCCAGCTTGTCGATTTCTTTCCCAGTGAGAAAAAGGAAAAAATACTTGAAACACTCACCGTCACCTCACACCAGTACTCGCCCCATCGTGTGATAGGCTCCTCTGGTAACTTCAACGCATGTGGGGCAACCACAACACCAAGCTGCAAAAAAATAAAACATGAGCCAAATGAACTCTCTTTTCTTTGGGGGGTGTGGGGGGTGGGTGGAGGACACTAGAGTTTGAACTCAGGGCCTCACGCATGCTAGGCAGGTGCTTTTACTTAAGCCACTCCATCAGACCTTGATCCTCTAGATCTCTACCTCCTGAGTAGCTAGAATTATAGGTGTAAGCCACTGGTGCCTGGCCAAATAAACTCATGGCTTCCACTCTAGGCAACCTCATAAAGACAGTTCTAGAATTTCCTGTATAGGGATGGAAAAAACTGGAGCATTTACTCTGGCTGACTTCATTGGGAGGGCACAGAAAAACTCATTCCTAATTTCTCAGAAATGGAGGTTGATTCACAAAGAGAGACAGGAATTAAAATCAAAATAATTTCATTCATGAAAGTTAACAATTCTCCAGTGAGTTACATATCCCCAGGTTCTCCCCAGCTAGAGGAAAAAAAAATGGAAACCATCACATTTTCCTATCCATTGAATTCTTTAAATTCTGTGATCATCCTTGGCTATTTCCCTCCCACTCCTTACAAACTAACCAAGAATATTTTCCCTAACTCCAGCCTGATGAACAAAGGTTCATCCCAGAGGTAGCTTCCACCCTTGGGGAGTGCTGGTGTTTGAAAATACTCACATTCTTGAAGAAGTGGCGGGCAACTATTTCAGGGTTCAGTTCCCATTTGACATTGTTCTTCATGCCCACTTCCAGGTGACAGCTTTTAAGAAATTTCACTGTCTGAAAGGAATTATAAATAGGGGCTGGGTTAGAGTTGGAATCAAAGAAAAGGAAACATGTTAAAAGTTACAATGTCTGGAGTTCAGGGAGAGGGCATAATTTCTGTCTCATAGTCAGAAGGTGAAAAAAATTAATGGGAAAGACAGAACATTTCTTATTGTCTCAAGACTGATAAGGTAGAACATATTTTAACAAGACTCTGTAGAAGATTGTCACCTATACCTTACTGAGAAACAGGTCACATTAAAGTCAGTATCATCAATCGGGGGGTCCCTTGTGTATCTCAGGATGAAATGATTGTCACAGACCGTTTTCAACTCAGTTTTTCTGTTCTTTCAATCCTACTCACACCCCATTAATGTGCCCTTCTTAAAAGTATAAATTCATTAGTTGAAGATTCAAGATGTTTTGTATATCTTGTTCCAAACCCTTTTACAGCTATATGTTTCCTAATATTATACTGTATACATCCTCTATATACCTAGATTGGTCTACTTTCTATGTTAAAACATGCCTTAAATTTCTACTTACTCTTCTTCCTCTCTAGTACTGGGATTACAGGCATGTACCATCACACCTGGTTTTAAAGAGTATCTCTGGAAGATACTAAAGAGGCTGGTAATGTTTGCTTCTGGAAGGTAAACGTGGCTGGGGGAACGACTTTTTTTTTTTTTTTTAAATTTATTTTATACTCTTGTATCTTTGAATTTTGATTCACATGTCACCTATTTTAAAACGTAATAAAAATAAAAAGGACAGGCTGGCAGAGTGGGTCAGGTGGTAGAGTACCTGCCTAGTCCTGAATTCAAACCCCAGTGCTGCAAAACAAACAAAAAAACACTTTTCCCATCTTCCTGGCCTATTCAAAACCTACTAATCCCAAAGGTCTAACTTAATACCATCTAAAAAAAATCCCTCCCCAGTCACCCTAAAATCCATTTTACTCATTATTTACTGCCTTGAGTTTGTCACGTGTCTATGTTCTCAACTTGTCAGTAAATATTCCTAAAGACAGAGCCCTCACCTCACACTTTTCCATGGGTTCCCTGATCCCCAGACTCCCTCAAGAAGCTAAGGTACTTCATTCAACAGATTAGAATTTCCCAAGAGGTCTCCATAACAGTTATGTGGTGCAGTAACAACACTTCTTTCACCACCTTATAGTGTATACAGTCAGGAGACTTCAAGGAAATCAGGGAGACTATCAAGAAGAGGTTGCTGACTGTAAATAATAAAGACTTTCTATGTTTTCACTCACCGCCTCTCCTGCTTTGGTCTGGATCTTCTCTAATTTTCCTTCTTGTCTCTGCTAGAAAATAAAGTTAAAGATGAAAGTAAATAATAAGACACAAGCCTATGTTAAATAAAATCAAACTCTTACTATGCTCGGGACAGGCAAACAGGTTGGACTTCTGGATTCTAGTTCTAGTACCTGTTTCATGTTTAAACTAATTATCAAAGGAAAGGAAGTTTCTAGAGGAAAACTTAAAAGTTTTATAACTCCAAATTTCCCTGTCCTTTCTTTGAGCTCACCAATTTCTCCTCTTCAAACAGCTTCTTGTTTTCAGGGGATGCATATACAGCCAGTCCCTGAGGAAGGAGCCGATTACGACCTACGGATTTCTTCACTGAGACCAAGTCACCCCGGACTCCGAGTTCTGACAATGAGAACAAAAGACAGTGGAGCAAAGCGATCCAGGTGACCCTAAAGAAAAGATGATCAGCATCATGGGATAGCTCACCGGTACAGAGCTTGCCTATCATGTCCAGGCCGTGGGAGGAAGGGGAGTGTTTAAGGGACTTGATGCAGAAACTTAGTATTCCCTGTATATTGTGAGGAGTTCTTTAATCAGAGGGTTTCATTATCTGTGGTACAAACCGCCAGGCTTCTCTCTCTGCCCACACACTGTTAAGGTGTTGCTGCATCCATGTTTTATCTTTTCATTCCAGAGGCCAGTGAAACCAGCACAGTACTTTTTATGGCTTCCTTTCCTCACTTATATAGGGGTATTTTCACAAAGTAGAGAAAGCAAGGCAAACAGCTGAGGGGGAAGGGCAGGAAAAAGCTAATGTCAAACAGATGAACCCGAGGAGAGGCAAGGAGCTGGGGCCCGGCCTTACCCTCCACAGACTGCGTGAGGATGAGCTCCAGGTTTTCTTTGGGCCGGTGTTTCGTGTCCTCCACCAGTTTGTAGACGCGGTGTCGCCGATGCAGGCGCGGCTTTCTACCCTCCCCGGCCAGCGGCACCTTCCACCACCGCTCCACGATGACCGTGCCCTGGGGGCCAGAGAGGCTAGGGTGACCGGGTCTCCACAGAGAACACGCTCTCCCCGGGGCACGGCCACCCGTCCCCTTCAGCCCCGGCGCATAGCCTCTCCAAGTCTTAACGCGCCCCAGAAACAATGCTCCGACGTAAATAACCCCACCAGGGTCAAGGACCCATAAATAACCCAAACCCAGCCCTCACCCGATGCTGAGAGAGACTGAAGTCGCGCCCCAGGCTAGGGGTGTCCCCTTCACGTCGCGGCCCGAGTAGCTCTTGGATTCCTCGCGGCAGTAGCCGCCCAGCGCCCGCCCCCAGCAGCGCTCTGCTCCGGCCCGCAGCAGCGAGAGAGGCCGCCGCCATGATGGCCGGCACGGAGAGACCAAAGGACCCCGGCGCCGGCGGCAGGAAGGGCCCCATGGGGCTGCCCGCGGCGCGCCTGAGTCAGCGCGGCTTTGCTCGGGGTTGAGACGAAGCGGACTGAGCGTGGGGGGCAGGCTGGACAGCGGTTTCTCTATGTCGCCCACGCCGTGAGATAAGAAAGCCCAGGGAAGTGCTCTTGGGCTCAGCATTTTCCTCACTCATCGCCCAGTTCGGTTTTTGGTTTTCCTTTGATTTTGGTGGGGGAGACGCTTTTAATTATTGACAAATAATGTAATGACTACTAGGTGGACCCGACACTGGCAAAGACACGGTCTTCCTCTTGACTTTATCTCTAAAATGGGGCCTTTGCTTTAGTCCTACCTGCTGTCTGAAGGCACGTCTCCTTGTGACATTCGATGAAAACCGGGCACGGAAGCCAGAAGGATGCTGCTCTCTGTTTTCCTTTAAGTCTGAGGGAGGCTAGATCAGGGAAACTGAGATACGGGAAACGCCAGCCAGAAATTTACAAATAAGTATTGTCCTAATGAATAGCTAATTAAAACATAGATACTGCTTTCTTTGCTTTAAGCCTTACACTCCCTCAACAAGCTGCGACATTTACTAGAAAAAAAAAAAAAGAAAAACCTCTCCCTCTGACCTTGCCCACTTGCCCAAAAATAATTAGTACCCTCTGAGAACTGAGCAAGGATGTCTTAAAGACACTTATCATCCTGGGGAAGAACTCTGGGCACAAAAAACACCCACAGAGGAAAACATTTATCACAAGGATGGACATCTGTCTTGAAGAGAGCCTCTAGCAGGACCCATCCTTTGTTTCAAGGGATGTTCAAGGGATGTTCAAACCCAACCTTGGGCTAACCTTGAAATCTTCAGGCCTAATAAGACATTGTACAGTAAAAACAGCTAATTATACCAGGTGTCAGTACAAAGGAGATCACTGTAGGGTAAATTAGAAACCTTTAACCCACTCTTTTTACCATAAATACCCCTGACATCGAAACTGCTTGATTGTGTCTCCCTTGGAGCACCCATGCTCCATTAGAGTGTGCCTTAGTTTTCTGCTGCTTGCTTAATAAAGCTCTGCCAAATTTTTTTTACTATTGTGACTTGTGACTTGTGTAGAAATTTTTAATCTGTGATTGATGTCAAGAACAAAATCCTGAATGGAGTGTTCCTAACCTGAAGGGAAACTTCACATACATCAACCACTGGTGACAAGTATACCTAAAAGTAATAGAAGGTTGGGATCTTCTGGAAAACTCTGCCAACCCCAAGAATGAATCTAACTCTTGGTCCTTGCACTGCAGCTTTTAAACTAATATTTAAAGAATTCTAAATCACAAGGGATATAAGCCTTAGGAAAAAAATAAACTATGGTAGGGCCAAACAGTTCCCTCTGTGGAAGGTACTGGAGAGAAGACCATAAAAATGGTATGAAAGGGTCTGTTTGGCAGAGGAGATGGTAGAAAGATGCTCTATGCTTCATCATATGTGGTCCTTCACCCAGTCAACACTCCTAAAGTCATTTTCTTGGCTCCCAGAACACGAGGACACTAGTCGTCACAGTCTCCTTTGTCGATTTATCTTTTTTTTTCCCCCAGTTAGTATGAACCCAGCACTCAGTCTTTGGGCTTTTCTCAGTGTACCCTCTCCTGATGAGGTCATCTAGGCTAACAGCTAATGATGCTTTTTTTTTTTTTTTTCAATCTTGGTTTTCAACTCAGGGCCTACACCTTGAGCCACTCCACCAGCCCTATTTATTTGATGGGTTTTTTTCGACATAGGTCCTCTTGAACTATTTGTCTGGACTGGTTTCAAACCATAGTCCTGATTTCTGCTTCCTGAGTAGGTAGGATTACAGGTGTAAGCCACCAGTGGCCGGCAAACATGGCCAGCTATTTATATACCCATGATTACCAAATTTCTATCTCCATCCTAGACTTCTCATAAACTCCACACTGTAATACCCAACTGCTTATTATTTTCCTCTTATATGGCTAAAAGACATCTCAAAGTTAATATGTCCCAAACTAAGCTGGTTTATACCCCTCCTCCCAAAGAGCCTACCCACAGCCTTTCCCATTCTCAATTGATGGAAACTCCATTCTTTCAGTTCTTGGACACTCCTTAACTCCTTTATCTCATATGAAATCCTGTGGGTACTACCTTTAGACTATTTCAAGAATCCAACCACTTGTCAACCCCTTTAATGTTCCACACTGGAATAAGACACTATCTTTCCCCTGGACTACCACAATGGTCTTCCAACAGATATCCACTGTGTATTTATAATACAGCAGTAAGAAGGATTTTCTTTTCTTTTTTTTTTGATACAGGGTCCCCCTCTGTAGTCCAGGTTGGCCTCAACCTCTCGATCCTTCAGCCTCAGCCTCTCGAGTGCTGAGATTACAGGTGTATACCACTACCTTTAGCTGAGGATCTTTTTAAAAGTGTAAGTCAGGGACTGAGGGTGTGGTTCAAATGGTAGAGCACTTGCCTAGCAAGAGCAAGGCCCTAAGTTCAATCCCTAGTACTGCTTAAGAAATAATTTACAAAAGTGTAAGATCATATAATTTTTCCACCTAAAACTTTACAATGATGGTTCTATACTCTTGGACTTCCTGGTCTCCAGAATGGTGGACCAAATAAATTTGTATTCCTTATAAGTTCCCAGTCTCAGGTATTTTGTTATAGCAACAGACAATGGACTAAGAAGCCTTCAACATATGAGTTTTGTGGATTCATGAACATTTAATCCATGGTACAACAGGATGGAATTTTTAAAATCATGTTAGAGTCTGGTGCTGGTAGCTTACACCTGTAATCCTAGCTACTCAGGAGGCAGAGATCAAGAGGATCGAAGTTTGAAGACAATGCTGGCCAAATAAGTTTGCAAGACCCTATCTTGAAAATACCAATCACACAAAAAAAGGGCTGGTGGAGTGGCTCAGGTGGTAGAGTGCCTGCCCAGCAAGTGTGAAGTCCTGAGCTCCCAGTACCACCAAAAAAAAAAAAAAAAAGAAAAAAAAATTCATGTTAGAATGCAGGTCAACTATGTGGGCTCTGATACCAGGCTGCCTGGGGTCAAATCCCTATTGGGTAAGTTGCTAGCTGTTTCACTGTGGTCACCTGGAATATGGAGATGTAAAAAAAATAATAACACTGACTTCTCAGGTGTGTTAGGAGACTTATATTAAATAATCAAGTTCTTCACCCAAACAAACAAAAACTTCACAATGCAATGATTTTGGTCTGTATATTCTGGCCCCATTAGCTTTCATTCCCTATAGCTTACACTGCCCTACTCATTCACAGTGGCTGCCTTGCTCTTTCTTGAAAACACCAGGCACATTTCCTACTCTGGGTTCTTGTAGTGGTTGTTGCTTCTAAATAGAATGCTCTTATGCCCAGATGCTGACTTGGTTAAAAACTTACACTCCACAAGCCTTTGTCACCTTTCCCTGGTGAAGCCCCCTTGAATTGTCCTATTTGTTTTGTGGTACTGGGGCCTATACCTTGAGCCACTCCACCAGCCCTTTTTTGTGTTGGGTTTTTTCAAGATAGGGTCTCTTGAACTATTTGCCTGGGTTGGCTTCGAACTGTGATCCTCCTGATCTCTGCCTCCTGAGTGGCTAGGATTACAGGCATGAGCCACCGGTGCTGGGCTCCTTCACACTTCTGATTCTCTTTTTTAATCCTGCTCTACTTCCCCTATAGCAGTTATCTTTATTATTACTTTATTTTGTAGGCTTGTTCTTTCACTTTTAGAAGTTCCATAGGGCCAGGATCTTTGTTCGCTGATGAATCCTTAGCACCTAGAAAGCCTGGCTCATAGTAGGCCCTCAATAAATATTTGTTGAATGTATGAGTAAATTAGTATAAAGAGATCTCAAACTGGTGGACAGAACCAAAATTTGCCCACAATTTTTCTCATTTTTTTTAGTAGTCACTTGAAAATATTGGAGAAGTTTACTAAAAACTCTGGTTTCAGTTGAAAAATCTAAGATCTGGCACCACTGACTGCATTCCTGCAAGACAACCAGATGGAGCTGAGTTATGCTGGCATCTTTTAAACAGGATGTGAGCTTCCTATTTTGTTATTGCCCCACCCTGCAGCTCTGCCAATTAGTAGCTGTCTGAGTCCCTGGGTTTTAGTTTGTGATTCCTGCCCTACAATTCCTATGATTGCGATTCCTATTGTTGGAGAAAGTTCAATGATCTATAGCGTCACTGAGTTAAGGGTGGGAATTATATTAAGAATATTTAACTGGAAACCAAATAACTAGGTCACTGCTGGATTAGAGCCTTGAAAGCCTCCTGCAATGCCAGCACCATCTCTTTAGTTGCTGGATTTTAGGGGAAGGTGTTCCAGAGAAGAGCCAGGATGGGTGGGCACAAGAAGTAAATAGCTCAGGCAGGGCTATTTACCAATGAGTACAGAAGTTTTAAGGTATTTTAACTACTGATACAGCTGTCAAGTGCCTACTAGTTGAATAGGAGCCTTGGTTAAGGGGACAGGGTGGGGGAGGGGAATAGCAGAGTCCTGAAGTGACATAAGATCTGACCTCTTGTCTATGTCATAGTGCCCACCAGGTCACAATGGACAAGGTTGCCTAAGGCTCTGCCACTCATCACTGAACTTCACTTTGCCGCAGGGAGGCACTGAACAGTAAAACTGCCTTGTAACAGGTCCCACCCCTCTCTCTACTCCCTTTCTTTTATCAAGAGGGGAAAAACACGGAACTACCTCTACCCGCTCTGGTCACCATACGCCTATTATCTTTACTGCTACAAATACCGGATGACCCTCCGGGAGAAGATGCTGCCTTGGTGTTATAGAAGGTATTTGTTTTCATTTTTATCTGTAGTTATATAAACTATAAGAAAAAATAAAAGAATTTGCAAGAATTTCCCAAGTGACAGCAGATAGCAAAATAAGGTAGAAGACCAGCATGGAGCTAACAGATTTTTCCACTTGGCTGGCCAGGGAAAATGGAGGCAGACTGGCCTAAGGTATTACAGAAGACAATGTCAGAGCCTGATCTGTGAGACTAAGTGGTCCTAAGTACCTGAGTTACCTCCTGTTCTCAGATTCCTTAGCTTTTTTTTTTTTTTTTTTGTGATCTCAGATTCTGAGGCAAAGTAATTTGGGTTTCTTTTTTCCCACCCAGCGTCACTTATAAGGAACAGGAAGACTTGACACTCCAGCCCCACTGCTGCCTCCCATACTGCTGCTGCCTCCAGTGCTCCTGAGTCCCTAGGAGGCCTCCAGGTGGGCAGAAGCACCAAGCAGGGAAAAGACCATAACCATAACCAGCTTAAAGAACTGTATTCGGTAAGTGGACTGTGACCTGGTTCTGTGACAGGGCAGCTCACTGCTTACTGTAATGATGCAGAGGAGGGACATTAGCTAGCTGGAAAATCAATCATGGAAAAATAGAGAAAAAACATTAGAGGTAGATGGGACCTAAGAGTTCAGGTGTAAAAGTTACTTGCTGTATAGAAAAGAATTCTGGCCCAAAGGTTTTAAGTCAAGGTCATGAAAGGCAGGATGGGAAAAGGCAAAGTGGGAACAAAGGTGGGGAAGACTATTTAGGACTTGTGGGACTTAGAGCTGTTTAAGATGCTAAGCTGGGTCTAGAATCCTATACTTTCGTTTGTATCATGTTGCAATAACATGCCTAGAGTGATATTTGTGTTTTAATGAGAAAAAGGAGAACTTATTGAAAACTTATATGAGCTATAAAAGGGTAAGAGTATGGCGTGAGAAAGGAAATGCAGAAAGCTTTGTTTAAACAAGAGGCCAGTTGGGCATGGTGGAATGTACTTTGTAGACTTAGCTACTTGGGAAGCCAAAGTAGGAATGCTTGAATCCACGAGTTATGTTGCCAGCCTGGGCAACGTAACTAGACTTTTTGTCTTAAAACAAGGCAAAAGCACTAAGCTCTCTGATGCAAATAGTAAGTTTTTGAATAGTTAGTGCACCTCTGGGATGACGTCAGTAGGCAGTAACACCCCATCAACTCCAGATTTAATTAACAGGTAGAACTCAGCAACAAGGATGGCTATTGGTTCTCAGGATTAAGGGATATTGTACATCTTCTAAGACAATGTCTCCACTTCTCCCAGGTTTCCTCATTTGCCCCACCTTGCTTCCAGACACACCCAAATCTGTGTGATCTGACTTGTGAACTAGATGATCACAGAGGCAGACTATTATTCTCCATTTTATTCCTTTTCCAGGCTGGGAACCTGACGGTGCTTACAACTGACCCCCTGCTCCACCAGGATCCAGTGCAGTTAGACTTCCACTTCCGTCTCACCCCCCATTCCTCTGCCCATTGGCACGGCCTTCTTTGTGACCACCGACTCTTCTTGGATATCCCATATCAGGCCTTGGATCAAGGCAATAGGGAAAGGTGACTGAGCTGGGATGGGCAAGTAGGGAGAGAGATGCAAGATTCTATCCTTCTATCATGTCACAATCAGTAAGTGGGCTGATTCAAGAGCAGAATCAGATACCCTTCAGGTGGCATGTAGACAAGCCTGTGAGTTGAGTCAGGATCCTGGGGTTCCTGGACCGGTAACGGTCCATGGGAAGTTTCTGGACTGATTCAGAAACACAGACGTGAGGATCCAGAAATAGTTGAGTAATAGAAGGTATTTTCTAGCTGCTTATCTGGATAGACCTTTCTTCCTAGAATCCCTGCTGTGGCTTATACACTCGCAATCCCTTGGTGTCAGAGAACAAGCTATCAAATTAGTTTAGCAGCTTTATTTCTTGGTTTAGGTAGGTGGAGAGCAAAAACTGACTTAAATTTGTTCTGCTCCAACCAAGTGTCTTTCTAGATTGAGTTAGCTGAACATTTAACTTTTTCTCTCTGGCCCCTAGTTTGACAGCAACACTGGAGTATGTGGAGGAGAAGACCAATGTGGACTCTGTGTTTGTGAACTTCCAAAATAATCGAAAGGACAGAGGTGGGGATCATCTGCTGTCCTTTCTTGACCTTTGTGTGGAAGCAGCTCCTTTTTCTTTGTAGGAGTCCTTCTCCCTGCTCTTTAAAAAAGGCACTCTCTGGCATTTCAGGGATTTTTTTTCCCTCTCATCTCAAAGGAAATTAAGACTCTCAGCATTTTGTTCAGTCACTTTCAACTGCACTATCAGGAAGCTGCTGGAGGTGGAATAGAGGCCAGACTGAGGGAACACTGGTGAAATTACACAGGATTAATTCAAGGGGTATGGAAATCAAAGGATCTCAAGTAAATGTATCAAGCACCTACAGTGTGAAAGGATTGAGCATAAGGCCAGGAGAACAGGAATTTATTTAACTAGATGCCCAGAGCAATATATTATAGAAAGTGCTCTTACCTCAAGGAATTCATACTCTGTTGAATTTAAGACAAAGAATAACCAAAAACAATTCATCAATATTCCAAGGGATGGATTACTATGCCATCATTGTATGAAGCACTTCATAAGCACCACACTTAAATTCTGTGAGGAAGGCTCTGATTCCAACTTCAGAAATGTGAAAACTTAAAGATCAGAAGGGTTAACCCAGAATGTTACAAACTAAGCAAGTGTTAAAGCCAGGACTAGATAGATGCTAGATCTGTTTCACTCCAAAGTATATTCTAATACCTGCACTACACTGCTTCCCAGAGGGCACTTCCTAGTGAAAGAAACAATCTCTGAGGGGGTACGTGGGTTGAGCTTCGTAGAGTGTCCTAACCATTTGTTCTGTCCTTTTCACAGGTGCCCTGCTGCGGGCCTTCAGCTACATGGGCTTTGAGGTGGTCAGACCAGATCACCCTGCCCTACCTCCCTGGGACAATGTGATCTTCATGGTGTATCCTCTTGAAAGGGATGTTGGTCACCTGCCCAGTGAACCTCCCTAAAACATGCTTATTCCATCACTGTGAGGGGCTAGAAGCTTAACACACGGGACTCAACCCAGGATGATTTAAAACACCTCCATCCTAGGAATAAAGGGTAGTGCAATCAAAATGTGTTCATTGTTTCTTGGGCGGCAGGGTAGGGTTGGCTGGAGTGGAATATGAACCTTACAGAGCTAAACTTACTGTAGGACACACACTTAATGAAAATATCAGAGGGCCCTTAGCCAGAAAGGTAAGGAATTCAAGGATTTAGGTTCCTTTTGCCTTCCCTTTATTTCTAATAAAGGGGATTATCCATACTCATTTACAGAGTACCTGCCAAGGGCAAGGACAAACCAACTAGGAAGTTCAGAAAGACCAAACCTTATTAGGATATATTCAACTACGTATTTCAGTTAAAATTGGAGACAAGGGCCAATTCCTTCTCTTTGGAATGTGGAGAAAACCAGAGAAGGTACATGGATCTCAAAGAGGATCACAACAGATAAAAAAAAAAAAACATAGTACAAGCTGGGCACTAGTGGCTCACATATGTAATCCTAGCTACCTGGGAGGATCATAGTTCTGGGTCAGCCTGGGCAGTTTGTGAGACCTCATTTCCAAATTCACCAGGGAAAAATGGATTGGAGGCATCACTCAAGTGGTAGAGCACCTACTTTGCAAGTAGGAAACTCTTGTTCAAACCCCAGTCCCCCCCCACAAGCCCCCCACCCCCGCAAAAAAAAATGTAGGACCAAAGAGGGCATTCCAGACAGCAAGTACAGGGTTGAATTGGAAGAATGAAAGGAACTTGGATGGGATATAAACTGACAAGACATAAAAGCCACATTAAAGGAAGAAATTTTTTATGCATAGGAAAACAAGACACTAATTTTCTAGAGTAGGAAGTCCTAGGAATGATTTATATTAAGGGACCTCTATCCTTGAACGCAAAGCCACTGAGGTTCTGAGACTAAATGACCTTCTGACCCTGTTGTACAGTAGCCCCAATGCCAGGGCTAAGCATGCTTTAGTGAGTTCACTGAAGCCAGCACCTCAGATGTACAACCAGTGGAGGCTCTTCTGCAGTACTTGAAGACTGTAAGAGCTACTCAGAGTTAATTGGTATTAAGAGTTTTCTGAGAAAAATTAGAGAATTGTGGTTGTGGGAAAATATAGTTTCCATGTAGTACACAGGTAGACCTCACTAATCCCATTACTAAGGACTTGCTAAGGTATCCTTATGTGTCAATATTAAGTTTTTCAGTTTATCTTGCCTTGTCCTTAAAAGTTCATTTCATTTGCCATTATTTTATTATCCACATTACTATACACACTTACCTTCAATTATCTTTCTAGTTCTTACTAGAGCCTCATATTGTCAGAAATAAAAAGTACTACCTAAAGTCTTACAAGTATACAGTGGAGACCTATTCCTAGAATCTAGGTTTCTAGAATTCTAATCCACACCTTTTACTCCTACCAATTTAGGTGGGGTCTTACTTATATAGCCCTAAATTGGTCTGGTTCCTAATGAATGGATGATTCTGAAGTAACATTAGGGAAAGAATGTGAATGCATGTATGAACGGGACACAGATGGCCCCTTTTATGTGAACATTTGGCAATTCTCACCAGATTTAGGCTCAAAGTACTTTACCTATAGGGCTGCTTCCACTTTGTGACAAAATGGGAACTAGATTTTAGATCATTTTCTTGAGAACTTTATTCAACAAATAAATGATTTAAAACAAATGATTTAAATGATTTAAACAGAACTATATATGTTCTTTTTCTAAGGTGTGTGCATACATATAGACACTATCCCAGTAATTTAGATATTTCCTGAGCTGCCTCTCTTCCTTTCTACTTGTATTCTAACTAAAGTTCACCAAAGAATAGCTGTAGCACTGTTTCAAAAAATCTGTCACCAGTAACTTTTACAATTGAGGCTGGGAGGTAGTATTCTCTTTCTACCTCCCAAAGTTTTTAAAAATATATTTAGGCTTATTTTTGTCTTTGCCTCTTAACTAATGTCTTTTGAGTTCACCACTCAAGCACTTCCTGTAACTAGAGTCACCTGATGAGGTGAGTCAGTCTGTAGAATCATCACTTCCAATGTCCAAACCCTGGCTGTTTTCCAGCTTCATAATGGACACAGTTTCACAGTAATGTACATTATGACTGGCAGAGAAGACTCAGTCTGACTCAGAGCCTGGAAGTAACACAGCAGCATTCAAATATTGGAAGGTAGGGAAGGGATCAGGGTGAAGTGTGCATGTGGGGTGGTGTATCTATCTCCTGCTCCACACTCTTTCTGGTAGTCCAATGGAAGGATAAAATGGATTTGGTCCTCAGCAAGCCAGACTGTGTGCATAAAAAAGGAAGGATTCCATGGATCTCTACAGATTCTTCTCTTAGCACCAAATCCTCTATCAAATCCTGCCAAAGACACAAACACAACAGAGACAAAAAGCTTAAATGGCTCAATCTGAAAGAAAGTTAAGGTATAGGAAAGCAGCTGCAGACAAATATATGAAACTGCAGAGAATACAAGGGGAAGAGGGGATAAAACAAGGTCCCTGTTGGCACCTTCACCACTTTCCTGTTGCTACAGATAAATAATAGTTCCACTCACACAGCAAAGCAGATGGTTGATCCAACTGAAGCCCAGACTTCAGAGTAAGTAGTCATCTTTAAGGTTATCATCACCAGACATAGAAGTAGCTTCTATTGAACATAAATGAGGGGAAAGTTAGACATTGCCCTATTGTATGTAGCAGGCACTGCCGTGAAATCCAGGAGAAAAATAGGCTCTTAGTGCTCAATGACCTGAAAACCAAGTTTTAACTTAACCTCTATAGTCTGGAGAGACTGACTGATAAAAGGTAACCTCTACAGACGTTATAGGTATACAATTCTACTTGTACCTGATAAGCTGAGGCAGGACAGGGTATGTGGTATCTCTTCAGGACTCTCTTTGGTCTCAGTAAGCATACTGGCAAGAGAGGCATCTGTTTCTGTGGCCTTAGGGCATGAAAACAAGAGAAAAAGAACATCTTGGCTGATGGGAAGGGAGATGCCACCCTGTCATTTTGCTCATAGGATCTGGTTAAAGCAGTTGAGTTTGGTGGCTGAAAGGGACACGAAGTGTTTTTACCCCCCTTTATAACCACTCCCTGTCCCTCCACCCCCCATTACTTTACAGCTTTTAGGTTTCATTATGCTATTTTCATAAACACATATAATGTACTTCAATCATATTAACCTTCCCATCACTCTCCTCCCCCTACCCAATGCCTCCTTTGATCAATCTTTTCAAAGCAGGTTTGAAAATTAAAGGTTCCCAGGGTGACAAAGGTTTCAATTGACTGCAAGTTAATGAAATGTCATGATTAGATGCGCTTATTGTGTCTCCATGCCCTAGGTTTTCCTGGAAGCAGCAGTCTAAATGACTGTAAGGCTTATTTACCATGTCCTTCAACATGTCTGGGATGGTTCTGTTTTCTTCCATGTCTTCAGGAAGCTCAATTGCATATCCTTTACGAACTAATTCTAGCCCAATATCAAGCTTCTGAGAAGAAAAATGAAAAAGGAATCATGTTCTCTTTGTAAGGAAAGGCAAATTTGAGAAATAAGGCAGAAGAGCTTCGATTAATACTTTAAAGACATTCCTTTGTGGGATGGTGAGCAGGATCTTCCAAAATAGGAGTAATACCAGATAAAGGTTTCTGGGAAATAAATAGTAGGTGAGGCCATGAAAAAAATCAGAAGAAGCTGGGTGCCGATGGCTCATACCTATAATCCTAGCTACTCAGGAGGCAGAGATTAGGAGGATCATGGTTAGAAACCAGCCTAGGCAAATAGTTTGTGATATCCTATCTCAAAAAAAACTTTCACAAGAAAAGGGCTGGTAGAACGATTCAAGGTGCAGACCCCGAGTTCAAAACCCAGTGCTGGAGGCCAATAGGAAAGGGGACCAGGAACTAGAGAAAAGGTTAGATCAAAAAGAATTAACCTAGAAGGTAACACACACGCACAGGAAATCAATGTAAGTCAACTCCCTGTATAGCTATCCTTATCTCAACCAGCAAAAACCCTTGTTCCTTCCTATTATAGCTTATACTCTCTCTACAACAAAATTAGAAATAAGGGCAAAATAGTTTCTGCTGGGCACTGAGGGGGTGGGGGGGGGGAGAGGGAGGGGGCGGGGGCAGGGGGGAGAAATGACCCAAGCCTTGTATGCACATATGAATAATAAAAAATGAATGATGTAGTTGAAAAAAAAAAAAAAAAACCCAGTGCTGCAAAAAAAAAAAAAAAAAAAAAAAAAAAAAAAAAAAAGAAATAGCAGGCCAGGGGTGTGGCTTAAGCGCTACAGCTCTTGCCTCGCATGCAAGAGGCCCTGGGTTTAATCCCATGTATTGAATGAAAAAAAGAAAAGAAAGAACACTGTTTGTTTTTTGTGTGATAGTACTAGGGGTTGAACTCAGAGCCCTGCACTTGCTAGGCAAGCACTTTTAGCACTTGAGCCATGCTCCCAGCTCTTTTTGATTTAGTTATTTTTGAGACAGGGCTTGCTTTTATGCCTAAACTGGCCTGGATTATCATCCTCCTATTTATGCTTCCATGGCTGGGATAACAGAAACGTGCCATGACACCCAGCTTTTTACGGTACGAGATGAGGACTCACCAACTTTTTGCCTGGGCTGACTTTGAACTGAGATCATCCCAAAAGACCCTATCTTGAAAAAAAACATCACAAAAAAGGGATGGTGGAGAGGCACAAGGTGTAAGCCCTGAGTTCAAGCCCCCATACTATAAAAAAAAAGAAAGTAAGCAGTGTGTGAATTCCACTCTTACCTTCCCATTACTGGTATCATATAAGTAGATCTTTGGCCAAGTTGAGATTCCAGTCTGGACATAGCTAGAGATCTTGGCCACCAGGGGCTTCCAGTCAGCACAGTGAGTGAGTCTGTCAAACTCATCCAAAGCTTCCTCTTCCCATTGTTCACCTGGAAGAAGATTGTTTTTACTCAAATTTAAGGTAGTCAAATTCTTTTCTAGTGTGTTTGTATCTGACTGCAGGTAAATTTCTGGCTTTTTCTTTCTTGCACTGGTATAGAAAAGCCACTTGAGACCCCAGAACTTAAAAAGTATGGGAATGTGAGAGTTCCTCCCATGAGCTGCATAAAAGACTAGGTTGACTGATTTACCTGAGGGGGCAATCCGTGCCAGACTACATTCTATTGCTTGAAATGGAAGGCTTAGGAAGTCACTCCTAAGGAGAAAGAAACAAATTAGAATCCTAGGGCTAGAAGGGGATTCTTATATTACTTGCTTTTAGAAAAAAATCAACTAATCCAGTGTGAGAGATAATTATCTACTCTCTGTAAACAGGTTCCCTTTCAAATCCTCCTGATGATGTGTGCCAACAGCTTACCAGTCTGTATCTGGTTAGGGCTGAGTCAACAGCTGGGATTCCAGAAGACTCCACCCCAACCTCCACACTGACCTGAGAGCCCTGAGGTCCTTCAGTGGGCAGTCTCCATTATCTCCAAAGTCAACAAAGTAGAGGTCCAAGTTCCCATTTTCCAAGGTGCCAAGGATCCGGGCTCGATACCAGGAACCATTTGTAGATAAAGGTGCTGCTACAATGTCTCCAACATGTACAGTCAAGTCTTCAGGCTATACATAGGGATGAGGAGTCAGGAGGAAATAGAGTTATGAAGTGGTAGCTAATAAATACAGAATACCAGAAAAAAGAAAGAACAAATAGTTGCCACACAGGAAAAGGAAGAAAATATATTATAATGAGAAATCCCAGCCCTCTACCCATGGCAACTCACCAAACTATTCTCATAATGCTGGGTCATCTCACTGACAAGCTTATCCAACTGCAGGCTTCGAGAGCCAATGATTTGGATCCAGAAGTGGTTGGGGTGTTCAGAAGCAGAAACGTAGACTTCTAGGTACTCATCAGCATGGAAACTGAAGTCGGGACTGGGGACTGAACATAGGGATAAGGATGGTGACTATATTAGAACCATCTTTGGTTGGAATGGAGACTGCAATAGGAAAATAAGAGGTACAAATACCAACTGAGTGGTTGTTAACCATTTAAAAAATGGATGGAGGAGCCAGGCATGGTGGCTCATGCCTGTAATCTTAGCTATTTGAGAGACCAAGATCAGGAGGATTGAAGTTTGAGGCCACCCAGCCAAACAGTTCATAAGACCGCCATCTTCAAAATAACTACAGCAAAATGGACTAGAGAGGCATGGCTCAAGTGGTAGAGCATGTGCTTGCAAGTGTGAAGCCCCGAGTTCAAACCCAGTCTTACAAACAAAACAAAAAAAAAAAGGGGGGGGGGAATGGAGGGACGGGGGAATGGAGGGACAATGGGATGAATCATACACAAATGGCTTTCTGTCTTGAAGAAAGGTTCTAAGTTATTTTCTGTACCTTTCTATATAAGTGAGTAATAAGTTTACATTCTTCATCACGTCATGTATTCAAATCAGTTATCAGTTATAATGAAGGTAAATTCTCTATCTCCTAGGTGAATCAGGATCAGTAAAAAGGCACATGGACAGCAATCTTTACATGAACAGAAATTTTGCTTGTTCTACATTCCATTCTACTATGGATCCATCATACGACCATGGACAAGCCCAGAACTTCTTGAAGTCCTGGTCTTTCCTGTCCACGGCAGCACCTTTGCATAGAAGAGGAAGCTCACAGCCTTTTCATCTTTCTTAAATAATGATCATTTTTAAAAACAGTAATGAGATAGGCAATACAAAATTAGGCTGAGAATTTACTTATTTCAAAAGGATGTTTGGAGAAAGACAAATTCAATCTTTTGATGTATTACAGGTAATCTCCTTTATCAGCCTATTTCTATCTCATTAGTTGTCTTATATTCAGAAAAATACTTTTAATGTTTAGTATTAATCTAAGATATTACTAGAAAAGCATTATTTATGATGACAGATTTAACATTCTTATTGCTTCCTATTTCAGGTCAGGTAAACTGGTATTCCTATGTATCATATGGTTAATGGGTTCCCTGATTATTACATACTTTCAAACATGGACACCTCTGGACTGGTTTGGGCTCCAGATTTCTGAAAGCTGTCATCATTAGGTTTCTCCCAGGAACCTTCTTTTGGTCCTACAACAGCCATGTCACCCCCTCCTTTGTGAGGAGGAACCTCCAGAGGTGTAGCTGGCCCCATGCTAGAACTCATGTTTTTCCATAAAGCTGGTTCTCCAGCTCCACTTGGCTCCATCACTTCATCTCTTCTCACACTGATTGGCTGCTTGCGTGGGACTCTGGTTTCTGCAGAATGGGCAATTCTCTTCCGAAGTTCTTCATCTTCTGAAACTTTCTCCAGTATCAAATGCTGTGGAAAATAAGAGAATGGACGATAGCTATGCAGCCATATACTGACCCAGGATGCAGTAAAGAGTTCTTTTCATTCTTAGGTATGATTCAAATGTATCAGCTACTTGCCTTAGCTGCTGCCACTTCCTTCTGTGTTCCTGAGATTTTTATAAGTCTTGATAGTAGTAATGTCCCCTCTGATTCTTTGTCACAGGTAATTTTGGCTCCAGAGGCCTTACAGATAGAACGAATCGTCTCGCCGCCTCTCCCTACATTGAACAATATATAAAAACCTGTCCTTCCCTCCTGATCAACCTTAACTACTAGAGAAATTACCATTTAGGGTATACTACAAGAAGGGAGTCAATTCTAATTTCCAAACTGAACAGATTGTAAGATGCTTCAGGAACTACTGAAGTTGTTACTATAGGAAAGAGAATAAAGAACTCTGCTTTATCCATTTTATTTAAACTCTACCCTTTGGCTAGATTAACTTCATGTCATTTCCATTTTTTGGCTACTTAGCAAGGCCATACTTTACATTCTCAGCTCTTAAGAAGACATGCTAAATGGTGTATCAGAATCCTGAACTGAGAACAGACACTTCTTTGCCCCTAACAGCAGCACTAAGGAATGATCCAAGGGAAAGCATGACAGGTTTTTTTTTTTTTTTTTTTTTTAGAGCACTGTTTTGAAAGATTTCGGATAGCCTGAGCATCTCTGGCTTCCCTTTAAAAATCTATTTGTAAAGTTCAGATCACACAAGTTCTTGAAGTAATGAGTTTTATTTTACTACCAGTTCTGTAGGAAAGCAAATCTCTGGTCTCAATATTCTTGTCTTTTTTTTCCTCAGCAAGGTGAAGAAGAGTAGGCCAGAAAAGCCTTGGGAAGGGGTGAAAGAAAGACAAAGGTAAAGAATAGAGGAAGAATAGAGAATAGAGCAGAGGAAGCTGTCTAGTGGTACCTATGATTCTGCCCACAGATCTCTGGGGAACTGAGAGCTGCTCAGACACTGGGGTATTCTCTGTCAGGATCTGATGAATTGCTGCTTTGGCCTTGCACACCTGAACAGGAAAACCACTGATAAGCAGCACTCGCTCATCACCTACATCCTCTGTGTCCACATCAATCCGAGCACCTGTCTGTTTCCGCAACTGCAGAGAAAAACAACATGGCAGCACACTCTGGAAGAGCTCTAATTTGGGCCCAGCTAAGGACACTCTAAACCAAGCCCTGGAGGTAGACAGAGTTGAGCAAAAGTATCAGTTAAATGAAGATGCTATAATCAATCCTCATTTACTTGTACTTATGGAAGGAAATTAGTGACAAAGGTAATTCCAAATAAGTTAATTCAAAACCATTTATCTTTGTGTTTACAACCCTTTTCCCCTAATTTTATTTGGATTAGTCAAAATTTTTTAGCTTTTCTTTTTTGTTTTTGTTTTTTTTTGGTGTTGGGGAATGAACTTGGGGCCTCATGCATGCTAGGTAAGCATTCTACCACTGAGCTACATCTTCAGCCAATAGATAGTGTTTTCTTGACAACATCTCAATTAAACAATGAAAGGTGGTAAGAAAAGGCTAGACAACAATACTATATATACTGACAATTAATAGGGTTCAATTAATGGGGTTCTCCATAATAGAAAAGCATAGTTCAAGCTAAGAATCATCCTATCAAATATATTTGATATACTGTAAGATAAATGCTGTAATGTAACCCCACCCAGCACAACAACAATAACAACAACAACAAAAAACCTTCTACTTCAAGGTAAGCCACTTCTCTAAGGAGAAGTACTAATCTCTGGAAAGGAAAAAGTTCCTGTATTTTTTCTTTTTAAAATTTAAATAGCACTGGGGTCTTTTGTGATATGAGGTCTAAGGAAGGAAACAAGAAGTCAGTAAATAGAATCAATGCCTGCTCACACACTTACTTGTTTAATGTTGGCTCCTTGCCGGCCAATGATGAGTTTCACAGCTTCCTGGGGAACCCGCATCTCTATCTCAATGTCCTCCTCTCCAACAAATGTCAGCCGCTCTTCTGCATAGATCTTGGCTTATTAGATTAGACTTAAATACACCCAAAGCTACTACTATCTCTCCCTTGAATCTGGCTATCAAAGAGACTGTGGATTGCAATCATAATGACAGGAGTTGGAATTAGAAGGTTCAAAAGACCACAGCTGGAGCTGGGGGTATAGCTCAGCAATAGAGTGCAGTGTATGCTTAACATGCACAATGACAAGTTTAAGCCCCAGTACCCACCCCAGACCATTTTGCACATTCTCAGGGAACTATTTCAGATACTATAATGGGAAAAGCAGATTCTCTAAAGAAAGGGTTCTGGGTTCTGAGCAACTACTTTTCCTGAGACAAGACTCCTGGAGAAGAATGAAGGCCAAAAGTTGCCTGAAGTATCCATTATTCTCAAAAATTCTCCTGAATTATTTTTACATTTCTGTAGGTCCTATTCTCCAGGTCTAGCCTATGGGAAACTACTTTCTTCTGACACCTACAGAGAAGCATATAAATAAGAGAATAATATAAAAAAATTAACCACATTGATTTTGCTAAGGGGAACAGATCAATGAAGTTATAAATAAGATCATTTGGTGAGCATGGTGGATCAAGCCTGTAATTCTAGCTACTCAGGAGGCAGAAATCTGGAGGACAGTGGTTCAAGGCCAGCCTGAGCAAAAAGTTTGTGAGGCCCCCACCCCCCCACCCCACCTCAACCAATGACTGGGTGTGAGTCTGTCATCCTAGCTGTTTAAGAAGGCATAAATAGGAGGACCATAGTCCAGGCTGGCCCAGGCATAAAGTGAGACCCTATCTCAAAAATAACCAATATAAAAAGGGCTGTTGGAATTGCTCAAGTGGTAGAGCACCTGCCTAGCAAGCATGAAGCCCTGAGTTCAAACCCCAAAGACACAAAATAAACAAACAAAAAAACCCATCTCATAGACTAGCTTCCCAATAAGAACACAGAAAAAGAAGAAATCACATATTTTCAGTTGGAGATTCCTCACAGAAAGCCAAATGCATCTCAACAAACAATACCAGTCTAGCAAGGAAAGAGTTTTCATTTCAATTTAACAAGGCAGGAACACAGTCTGAATATTTTTGTAGGCATAGCCATGGGGTTCACATACCTCTGCTTTCCCTATACCTACGGTATAGGATATAAGCAACTGTTGCACTGGCTGGGATCCCAAGGCCCAGGGCTATTTTCTGAATAGTGGACAGGCTTGTCCAAGAAGTTCGTTCAGTGGACATTTTCTTCTATACTCTTGATTTACAGCCTGACATACGCAAAGGAAGAAAAAGCAGAAGCTTTCAGCCAATACTTGCCTGGCTGGCAGAGAGGTATGACAACACATTGTTATTGAAAAGAACACTATTGCCTGTTTTCCCACTTCAAGAACTTCAGCAGTCTCATAATTTCTATTTCATAGAAAAGGTTTCACAGTATTTAAAAATGTTAGCCAAGGGACAGATGCACACAGAATTAAATACAAGCATACTTCAATTTTACCCCAAGAACTATTCACTGATCCATTTGAAAATACAAGTGAATGGCTGGGTGCTGCTCATGCCTGTAATCCTAGCTACTCAGAAGGCAGAGATCAGGAGTAAGACCATATCCCAAAAAAACCCAATACAAAACAGAGCTGGCGGAGTGGCTCAAGTAATAGAGCGATGACTGCCTAGCAAACCTAGCAAGCATGAGTCCCTGAGTTCAAACCCTAGTACTGCTAAAATAAAATAAAGTAAATACAAAGAAATGGACTGGAGGTATGGCTCAAGCAGCAGAGTGGTCTGCTCTGCAAGTGTGAAACCCTGATTTCAAACTCCAGTGCCACAAAAAAAAGTAAATTAATAAAATATTTTAAAAACATATATACTTAGATTAGGATATAAACTCCATGAGAGTATGAATTATTTTGTTTCCACCTCAGTGCTTAGCATACAGCAGTCACTCAATTAAGTATATGGTCAATAATTTTTTTTTTTTTTTTTTTACAGTACTAGAGTTTATACTTAGGGGTTTCACACTTGCCAGGCTTGCTAGGCAGGCACTCTACCATCTGAGTCACTCTACCAGCCTGTATTCAATAATAATTTGTTGAATGACTAAACTTCCTATTTCTTCAGTGACTCTCAGTTGCCTAAATATAAATTGTTTAATTGAATGAAAGGTTCTTTGTAATCTGATCTTTGCCTGCCATCTTCATATCCTCATTTTCCTTTCCTTTCCCTCTTTCTCTTTTTGGTACTGAGGTTGGAACTCAAGGCTTCAAGTTTGCTAGGAAGGCATGTTACCACTTGAGCCACTCTACCAGTCCTAGCCTCATATTCTTACCCCACCTCTACTAGGACAATGGGATGTACTTATGTATCCTTGCTCTAACACATTACACTCTGTCTTCCTTGTCTTACTTCTTAGCCTATCTGATGTTCCTGGAAAATTCTATGCCTTCAAGTTTCATTTTAATATCAACTCTTCTGAGGCAGCTCAGAACTAGGTGACTTAGGAGGAGCTTCTCCTTAGCTCATACTACCCTGTCAATAATACCTCAGTGACAGCACTTGTTTACACTATATGTAATTGTTTATCTGTTATGCTTGTGTCATACAGACTACTGGCTTCACTAGTGCAGTTTAACTACATTAAGATGCTACTGTAGCCCTAAGAACATAAAAAGATAAATGTATTAAGTACCTATGCCAGGCACTTCCTATACATTAATTATTCCAAATTCATACAATCCTGTCAAGCAGGACATATTAACCCCATTTTTACAGAGATGTACATGTGCTTGAGAAGGTTATCTAACCTGTCTCTGGAGTCTAGATTATTATTTGCTTATGAAAAATCTTTTAAAGTGACTTCAGAAGTCCCTCCTTGACCTTTTTATCTAAACTCTCAGGATAATAGTACCCAGTGTTTTCATTCTTTGACCAACTTTAATTCAAAAAGTGCCTATTTCCAGATATTACAGTATAGTAGAATAAAACACAAGGAGGTTGGGAGTGGTTGTGCACACTGGTAATCCTAGCACTTGGGAGGCTGAGGCAGAAGAATTGGAGTGGGAGACTAGCCTGGGCTATAGAGTGAGTTGAAGGCCCGACTGGGCCTTGTCTCAAAAACAAAATGAAACAATGTGGCTTTTAATGAGATTTAATTATGAATAAATGTAATTTATGCTATAATTTGCCTCAAGGCACAAAAATTCAACCCAAATAATGATAAACATGTAAACAAAGATGTCTTCACCATGAAAAAAGTGAGTTTTGTCCTAGTAAAATTAAAGGCATACTCATTAATATAGGATGTACTCCAGAATAAAACTGGCTCTAAATGTGCTTTTCCAGAAAGCCTATAAAGAAGAATGAGGAGAGAAAGGAACCCAGCATAGAAACCTCATTCCCAGGAGCAGACAGAGGAAGGTAAGGAGAAGAGGTAGGTATTTTACTACTACTCTCATATAGATAGACTACCAGAATTTTCATTTGGCATGCTGGGCATATCAGTGGAAGAGCTCCCGCTTAGCATGCACAAGGCTCTAGCACCACAAAAACAAAAACAAAACAAAACCCTTGCATCTGGCCTCAGAGAACTTTACTGACCAGCAGAATGGAACAAAGTTCTTCAGAAAACTATCATAATTTGCCAAATCTATTTTTTTTTCTGGACATTAGTTATAAAAAAAATTTAATCTAGCCTCTTGACCAGATTCATGGCCTGAAGAGAAAAAACAAAACCTTTTAACTTGGCTGGGGACACTTTTCAAGTGTTGTCTATTCCAGACAATTAGTAGATACAGTATATCACTTTTATTAATTTATCTTTTGGCGGACACTGGGGTTTGAATTTAGGGTCTCATGCTTGCTAGGCAGGCACTCTTCTTTGGAGCCACTCCACCAGCCTTTTCTTCTGATGGGCTTTTCAAGATAGGGTCTCACAAACTATTTGCCCTGGGCTGGCTTTGAACCTCAATCCTCCTGATCTCTGCCTCCTGAGTAGCTAGGATATAGACATGAGTCACAGGTACCTGGTAGTAGCTCCATTTTAGAGATGGAGAACCAATCTGAGGGAATACTTCTCTTCCCCTTCCTGCCTGTTTTGGGGGTTCTGGAATTTCAACCCAGGGACTCAAGGATGGTAAGCCATGCTACCACCCCTTATTTATTTATTATTTTTGTTTTGAGAAAGGGTGTTGCTAAGTTGCCCATGCTGCCTATACTTTGGATCCTCCTGCTTCAGCCTCCCAAGTAGCTGGGCTTATAGAGCTGCAACACCATCCAGAGCTTTCCTTCCCTTTTAAGGGAAACATGGAAGAGTTGAGTTTAATGTGGGCTGTTTGCTTTCATTTCTTCTTCTTCTTTTTTTTTTTTTTAAATCGCTCTATGTGCTTATTTATTTTTCACTCACTACATTTTTTTAAATTTTTTTTTTCCAAAACTGAAGTTTTTTTTAAATTCATTTATTCACATGTGCATACACTGTTTGGGTCATTTCGTCCCCCCCCCCACCCTCTCCCTTGCTTTCATTTCTGCGGTATTCTCCAACTCACTGGATAAAAAAAAAATCAGTTCTTTTTAAACAGCTAGCAAATAAGACCTTGAGTATTATCATGTAAACACTTTTGTATTTGCCTTGATTTCATAAAGGATTTTTTTTGCTTAAATAATTTTTTAATACATAACTCCCAAGTTGTTACCTTCCTACACTAAGAAATAATCTATTCTGGGTGTTTAGAAAAGATTTTACTTCTTTTATCTCCTGGTTACATCATACTGTTTTTTCATCTAGTCTTTTAAGCACAAATTTGTCTTCATTATTAGTGTGCCTCAGTTAAATACTGCTCATTGTTATGGGCTGAGCATACTAGGGAGAAAAACAGAATAAGAATTCCTGCTCTGAGTGCCTGGAACATAAGAATTAAAAATTATTGCCTACTTTTATATCCCTGTGTCATAGATGTAGTTAGTTAATATTGGTTTAGCTTCAACAATTTTCTAGGCATTACTGTTCACCAATGATATATACAGATTAAAAAAAAAATTCTTCCTCTCAAGGAGCTTACAAGGGCTGGTGGAGTGGCTCAAGTGGTAGTAGAGTACCTGCCTAGCAAGCATACCACCAAAAAAAAAAAAAAAGAATTCCTGCTCTAAGACAGCCTAGTGAGAGAGATAATCACCAAAACAACTAATTACATGGCAGTGCAAAGACAATATAAATTCTTGGTCACAGCAAGAAGGAACTAGAACTTAAAAGGTTTATTTCTAACAGTGATCACAGTTGAAAATCATCTCAAAATACAATTCATTTATCTTCTAGTGATTAATTCAAACCAATAAAAACTGAGTATCCAATGTAAGAGCTTGGTTCTGAGGACACCAGTCAAGAAAGGCTTAGTTGCCTTCATGGAGCTTCTTGTCTGGCAGGGAAGGTCTTGTAAGTATTTTGGGGAAGCCAAAATAAATCAAGCCCTCTCCTTTAATACCATCTTTCTGGTGACAATTCATGCTAATGGGGGCATAAGAACCACAGACTTTTAGAACTGGGAGGGACCACAGAGATTATTTTGCTTCATTAATGTTACAACTGGGGAAACAGATATAAACTGAGTTTAGGGATATAAAAGGATTTCCCTAAGTCACACAGCTGGTCAGTCATTTCTATACAATACAGTATGCACAGGAAATAAATTTTTGTGGTACTGGGGTTTGCACTCAGGACCTCAAGTTTGCTAGGCAGGAGCTCTGCCACTTGAGCCAATAATCCTATTTTGAAGGTCAGTCATGCTCACACTTGTTTAAGGAGACATAAAACACTAATAGTTCAGTTCTGAAACTATCAGAATCAAAATCAGAGATATCCAAGGTTGGGTTTCATCAACATGGTCTTCCACAGTATCCCAAACATCCCCTTCATAACAAGCCATGATTGCAATTTTTTTTTCGGGTGGTACTGGGTTTCAAATACAGGGCCTCACATTTGCTAGGCAGGTGCTCTTACTGCTTGACCCACTCCACTGGCCCTTTTTTTTGATAAGCTTCTTACTAGATTGTGCAGACTATTTACCTGGCTAGCTTGGAACCTTGGATCCTCTTGATCTCTGCCTCCCTGAGTAGCTAGGATTACAGGTGTGAGCCACTGGAACCCATCCATGCTTGCAATTCTGGAGTAACAGCTATGTCTCTTGTGAGAATGACTTGAAAGCACCAAGAGTAGGTGCAGAGGGACCAGTCCAGCCCAGCCATCAATGATAGAAGTAGAGTTTGAATAAACAGCATGAATACCTGAGATCCAGCATCTGCTTATGGAAAGGTAGAGGGCAGAGCCAAGGAGCTCTATCAGGTTTCTGGTCAGAACACCTGGTAGATGGTGGTGGCTGACAGTAAACCCTGATTTTGTGGTGGAGGGAGTATGTCACATGACAAGGATAAATTTGTTGGGGGACTTCTATTTGAACCAAAAGCTACAATTCACCAACACCTCTTCAGATGTTACTAGTGACTTTTTTTTTAGTACTGGGGCTTGAACTCAGGGTCTACATCTTGAGCCACTCCACTAGCCCTTTTTTGTGATGGGTTTTGTCAAGATAGGGTCTAGTGAACTATTTGCCCGGGCTGGCTTCCAACCGGAATCTTCCTGATCTCTGCCTCCTGGGTAGCTAGGGTTACAGATGTGAGCCACCGGCGCCCAACCTAACTAATGATTTTTGTATGCTGGAGGTGTGACTCAAGCGATTGAGCGCCTGCCTAGCAAGCACAAAGCCCTGAGTTCAAACTCCAGTATTGCCAATCCGCCTACCCCCAAGGGAAAAAACCTAAAGATTTTTATGCTAATTGGGTTATCAGCTGATTACTTGAGGAATGAATTAGCAAAGTCAAATCAGCCAAAACCCACCTCCATACCTGCCTTAAGGAATGAGGAAGGTATTATTGTGACCACTGCAGTTAGCCACTCTACTAAACTAAAGCTAGGGGGAAATAAAAGGCAAGCTAATAAACTAATGGCGCTCCAGTCTCAAGAAGAACCAGGCAAGAGTGCAAACTCACTTTGGGCAACCCTCTGGTACTGGTCCGTAGTGGCCTCACCGTGGGACCTGAGCATTTCCTTCGGATAAGGTTTTGAGTTCCCGGGGCACAGCCGCGGGCAAACCACGCTTCAATGCCCAGGGCTCTTAACACCCTCCGGGCCTCACCCTCACCTCTGCCCGGCGGGCGTCGCACACCTCCTTCCCTCAACCCTTCATTTCGCGCCCCCCCTCCCAATTTGCCAGGGTTGCGCACCTCCAGGCCTCTTCCCTATCAAAACCTCTAGCTTGACTCCCGCCTTTACCGTTCCTCGAAAGTCGGCCGTCGTGCGCTCTGCCTCACACCTCAACCAGGTCGCCGCCTCCTCCCACTCGCACTGCAACTGGAGCGGTGCCGGCCGCGCTACAGCCCCCATTGCCCCGCCCCCGCAGCGCGTCCGCACCAATCAACGCCCGCATTGCAGTCCGACCAATCGCCACTCTCAGCCGCAACCAATCCTTCCTCGGGCTGCCATGAGCGACGTAGCTGCTGCGCGCTAAAGTCCAATTACCCGGATGGAATCCAAAGCCGGCCCATCCTATCAACCAGTAAGATGCAGGGAAAGCAGTTGTTGTTAATTGAGATTGCACCTGCTGAGAATTAACTAGCCAATTAGAAGCTTCTCAGCATCCTCTTAAACCAATTACCAAGCAGGCTTCTGCCTCCTAATCTTAGAGGAAAATTAGAGATAGCGAGTCTGGCACCCAGGTGCGAGGGGTTGAATTACTCATGCGTGTCACAGTTCCCACAAAATCAATGCCTTTGTACAAAGCCAGCGCCATTCCACAACTCAGTGACCATTGGGGAAGCAGCCCCGTGATGGGCAGTGCTCCACTTGTTTTTCTTGCGAAAAACTGCCACGATCGGTCCCTTGTATCGTGACAGGAGCTTAAGAGTCGTGGAAAACATTAAAATTTTTAAAATTTCGTAGATAGAAAGGGAAGCAAGGGGGAAGGAACTGCATGGCAGAGCGAGGATCCCACGCTTCTATTCATGTGCTGAGGCATGAGCACCGCGTGTGGACTGCACAGCAGCGGGAAAGGAGATGAGAGAGTTCCCACTGCGGTGGTAAGGGAGCTGTGGGTTCCCTGGGGGTCAGGGCACACGCAAGGGGCCGTTTCCGTAGGAGCCAGACAGGGTGGGCTGCTTTTGCAGGCAGCGGTTTGCTTTGGAAGATTGAATTCCAGCCGCCGTCTGGGTCCGTCCTGGACCGTTAGGAACGGTTGGGGCCTTGCAAACCGGACCCTGCGCCCCACTCCATCCACCCTATCCATCCCCATTCTTGCACCGGAGACTGAGGCCGGGCATTCCCTGTCGTTGGGAGATTTTTTTTTGCCCTAGCTTCTAGCTTGACAGGTGATGGGCACTCAATAAACGTTTGTTTAATGAACACAAGATTGTATCCTTGATCAATTAGAGAGATGCCTTTGGGCCTCAGTTTTTCCCTTTCTTTTGGTCCTCCTCCTCCTTTTCTATTATTATTTTGCCCAGGCTGGCTTCCAACTCCTGGACTCAAGTGACCCTTCTGCCTCAGTCTCCCGAATAGCTGGAACTACATCCTGCAGCACATTCTGTTTCTATTGATTTAAAAAATATGTATGTGTTCTGCATAAATAATACATGTATATTCTAGAAAATTCAAAAGGAACAAAAGGTTATTACACAGAATACCTGTCTTCTTTCCATCAGGGGCAACCAGTGCTACAGTTTCTAGTGAAAAATTTCACACACAGTTAACATGGATAGGGATATATTTTTACCCAGTTAATGATGTACAAATTTGCAACTTCCTTTCATATAATCTAAAAATCTTTCTTTAGCAGCACATATATATCTGATTCATAGTAAGTTTCATAGTATGAGTGACCTGTATATGATATATTTAACCAGTCCTCTAGGATTCACTTCATTTTTGCTCTCCTGTGAATATTTATGTATAATACTTTGGAATGCAAATGAGGTCAAAAAGTGTATTTTTCTTTTCAATATGTGTGATTTTGCAAATTTCCTTCCTCCCACAAAGGTTTTTCTAATTTTCATCCCACCAGTAATATTTGAAAAGGATTTTGCTTAGTCTTGTCCAGTTGCCTTCTACACAATTAACAGTTTTCTCTCCCGTCAGTCATGGATGTAAAGGAGCTGTCTGATAGCCCACGTACACAGCATGTTATCACATCTTGATTTTTGACAATCCAATAGTGTAAATGATATCTCATTGCAATTTAAAATTTTATTTCTTTTATTATAAGTAAGGTTGAGCATCATTTAATTCATTTAAGTGCAATAGTATTTTGGGTAAATTATCTGTTTATATACTTTGCTCATATTTTTATTTGTTTTTGAATCTTTCCTTAATACTTGCTTTTTGTATATGTTAAAATATTTTCTCCTTTTCCCAGTTTGTTCTACATCTTTTTACTTTGTTTATAGTGGTTTTTTATGATGCATTATTTTTTATGTAGTTGAATTTATCAGCATTATCTTTGATAACTTGGGTTTCATATCATATTTAGACATGAAACTACTACTTAAGATTATTTTTAAAACTCCTATGTCTTCTTTAAATACTTTTATAGTATCTTTTATACATGTAAGTGTTTGATTCTAGAATAAATTCTAAAATTTATTTTGGTATAATGGTGTGAGATAGATATCTAACTTTGTTTTGTTTTATCCAACCCTTCTAAGTGAATAACTTATTTTCTCCAATGTTTTTGAATGTAACCTTTTTAATCTCCAAATTGCCACATGTACTTGAGTCTGTTTTGTTCCATTGATCATTCATATTCTAGCACCATACTATTTTTAAAAATTGATGTACAGTGTATTTTAAACACAGTTTTAAAAATTTAATGGAATGGTATGTATGCATACATTGAAAATTCTGCGTATACATCTTGATGAGTTTTCAAAAATGGAATACATTTGTGTACCCAGAATCAGATGAAGACAGAGGTGCCTCAGAAGCCACGCCTGTGTCCTCTCCCTGTTACTACTCCCCTCAAGAACAATCACTTTTCTGATTCCTAATACTAGAAACTAGTTTGCCCGTTACAGTATGAGAATATACCATAATTTACTTTCTGTTCTACTATTGGTAATGTTATTTTGATTGAAATCACTTTTAGATTATTAAAGGAGAATTATTGTCTTATGATATCGAATCTTCCTATAAATTTAAATCACTGATGTCCTATTAGTAATGTTTCAGATTTTCATCATGTAGAATTTACATTTCTTGTTAAGCTTTTTCCTAGGTATTTAAGCACCTTGATTGCTATAACCATTTTTACTTTTAAAAGGTAACAGAGCAGTTTAAATCTAAGCAAGAATGTTCAGTGTTGCTATAAAAAGCACAGGATTATTTTATAGGCTCCTGATTTTTTTTTTTTGCATTATTGGGGCTTAAACGCAGATCCTCATACTTTTGCTCTACTACCTGAGCCATGCCCCTAATCCTCTTGCTTTTATGATTTCTTTCCAAGAGGGTTTTGTGTTTTTGCCCAGGCTTGCTTTAGACTATGATTCTCCTACTTTTGCTTTCCTAGTAAGCCTGTACCACTATGCCCAGCCTATTTTTGAGACAGGGCCTTGCTGACTTTTTGCCTGGGCTGTCCTTGAACAGCAATCCTCTTGTCTTTGCCTCCTGAGTAGCTAGGATTATAGATATGCACCACCACACCCAACCCTTTCCAGCTCCAGTTGGGGTTGGGGTGAGCAAAATTTTAAAAAAGGAAACAAAATGGAAGTCCAAAATAGGGATTAAAAATTTAAATTACAACACAGGAGGAATTTCTTATTCAGAGTGGTGAGAAGCCAGATGTAAGCACTTTTCCAAGAGGATTGACTTCTAATTGGCTAGGTAGGGAGGCTGGGAGTACAAGGAATAAGTTTAGATGAAATGGTTTCAAACTCACTCTCAAGTCACTGTGCATTTGGGATTTGTCATCTAATTTCCCCTCAAAGCCCAAATCAGGATTGAGAGATTGAGTTGTAAGATGCTGGATTTCTTTAGTCTCATCTCCAATTCCTAAGAATGTATTCTGTTTCCTTGAAAAGTGTTCTGAGCAGTCTGCAGGAGGCAAAAGGTAAAATGAAATTACAAAAAGTCTCAGTTGCCCAGAGAGTTCAGTGGGCAGGTGTTTCCACTCAATAAGCCAAAGCAGGAAAGGAGACTTTAGCTAGCATGTGGGCAGTGAGTGGTTTTCACACACAGGTAGCCTGGCTCTAGGGCCTTTTGACTGCTCTGAGTCACTTCCCATACAACATGTGAATTATTAATTCAAGTAATATTCAGTTGTCTAAGTCTTTGAAAAATAGTACTTATTTCTCCTTTTGCCCACTGTAGGAATCACTCCTTTCTCCCCCCATTAATTGAGCCTCTTCTCCAGAAACCAGCAACTGGGAGCCAGAGCCTTGCTATCATCATCTATGGTGGTGCTACTGTTCTGTCTTAGATCAGGTTGATGAATTGGGGCAGGTGTCCTCAGAGATTTTCCTCAACTTCTCCCTCCCCCCAGCTCTAAGTCTTCCCACTTGGTTTCTCTTCAAAGTGTTTGGAGGAGGAACAGGACTCAGAAGGCCCTGGTCTCAGATGTTCTCCTGCCTGAATCATCTTCATATTTACTTCTTAGGAGACTCATCCAGAGTTTCCTCCTTGTCCGCAAGAAATGAGTGCTGGTGGGAGAGGAGGAAGCCCATTCCATCACCTGCTTTTTCCTGTGCTAACATCTACTTTACACTGTAGCCCTTTCCAGACTTTTCTCCTTGCTTCTAATGGATCCTGAGAGCAAAGTCACCTAAGTCCTCAGCTTTTCTCTGGTAACCTGAGGCTTCCACAGTAGAGGTCCTTTACCTGCACTCCATGGGGTCTGTGATGGCTTTAGAATGAGTAGATAATGGATGAACTTTCTTATTTATAGTTTGCCCCAAGCATCCTAAGAGGTCTTTGACTCACAAATGTTGAGGATCATTGCTTTGCAGGGCTCTCATCCTTTGAAGCAGGATCCATCACAGTGAAAGAAATAGAAGTCAGAAAGTAGAGAGACAGTATATCAGGGACTGAAATAGTGCCAAATCACTTTGGGTCCTGGGATGGGATACCCCAGGAAGGGTCTCTGCAGCGGTAGCCAGAAGGTGAATTCAAACAGCTCTTGGATTGTTCTACCATACTAGAAATTTCTGAGTAGTCTTTCTCTAACCTAAGAGGTTACTGAGGTTAGAACCTAGAAAGGGAACTAGGGAACCTAAAACTTCTTTCTTTCTTTCTTTTTTTTTTTTTGTGGTATTGGGGTTTGAACTCAGGCCCTCACACTTGCTAGGCAGGTGCTCTGCCAATTGAGTCAGTCCTTTGCATTTGTGTGTGTGTGTGTGTCTGTGTGTGTTGGGTATATTCTTGAGAACTATTTATCCAGGCTGGCTTCAAACCACAATCCTCCTGATCTCTGCCTCCTATGTAAATAGGATTCCAGGTGTGAATCACTGGTGCCCAGCTAGCCTCCATTTTTAATCATGAGAGGATCCTTTGCTGGGAGAAAGACATTTCCCTTCAGCCTGATCCCTGGAATTTTGACTTCTTTTTACCAATCCCAGGGCAGAGGCAGTCAGGATATTGGGAGAGGAGACAGAGAAGAAAGAATAAAATCCAACACCTTCTTGAATCAGGTTCAGTAGAGTTATGGAAGGAAAGTCAGAATCAACAACTGATCCTAGTCCCCCTTAAAAATTCAGAGTGGGTAGGGTAGAAGATATCCCCTTCCTTGCAAGTCATGTCCTACAACTGAGAGGCCCTATATGAAAGAATAATAAGAGTATAACAGTACCAGGCACCAGTGACTTACGCAAAAAATCCTAGCTACTTGGAAGGCTGAGATGGGGAGGATCACGGTTTGAAGCCAGCCTAGGCAAATAGTTCATGAGACTCCATCTTCAAAATAACCATCATGAAATAAGTGTACTAGAGGTGTGGCTCAAGTGGTAGAGCGCTTGCTTTGCTTGTAAATGGGAAGCCCTAAGTTCAAACCTCAGTTTCCCCACCACACACACAAAAGAATATAATGGTGAGTATAGATAGAAGTATGATAGAAACTGTATGAGTTTTTAGTTAGCCCTGAGTTCGAATGCAGTTTCTTTACCAACTAGCTCTGTACACTTGAGCAACTTAATCTACTTGACTTTAGTTCTATCAGCTAAATTGCCTATCTGCCTTATAGGGTTGACATGAGTATTAAATAAGGGAACATACATAAAGCCAGTGATACAGAATAAGCCATTCATAAATGTCTTCTTCTATCTATCCCACTGTCCCACCTGGGCACATCCCCCCTTGGATTGTACTGACAAGGTGATACCGTCACATCCTTGCATGAGGAGATGCCCCACAAAGCCATGTAGTAGGTACACACCTATCGTGTCCCCAGTTGCATTTGCACAATCTCTGGCACACACACAAGAACCTGTACAGTCATAGCGGAGCTAACAGCAGACTTCCCAGATGGGTAAAATAAAGGACTGACTTGTGGATTACTGGACAAAGTGCAACCTTGTTACATTAATGGAATGTATCCTGAAAAAGCTGTGAAAGGCCAATAGGGTGGTAGTGGGGAATAGCCCTATAGGCATTGGGCTGAGAAGCAAAGATTTCTTGGTCCACCAAAAAGACTATGCTAGGGGCCTGCTATCTGGAGCTGCACTGTTCACAATAGTAGCCATTGTGCACTTATAAAGATCACAGTGTGACTGAGGAATGGGATTTTAAATTAATTAATATTTAAAACTGATACTTGGTTCAGTTATTGGAAAACTTGGATGTGTGAGTCTACTTTTTCAACAATAGATCTTATGAAATCTAAATGCAGATAAGTTATTTCTGGTGAGCATTTAGTGACTGAGATGTGCTATAAATATATGACCCACACTGGATTTCAAAGATCTAGGGTGAAAAGTGAATGTTAAGTATTTCATTACTGATTTTTATATTGATAACATTGAAATGATAATAGTTCAGGTACATTGGGTTAAATAATGTATAATATTCAAATTAATTATATGTTTCACTTTGATTTTTTTAAAGTGGCTACTAGAAAATTTGAAATTATATATGTGACTTGACTTCTCTTTTTGTGGGTGTCTCTGTTCCTGAGACTTTGGGCAGCAGAATTTCCCCATGCCAGACACTCATCTGTTCCAGACTGCCCCAGGAGCTTCCCAGAGATTTCTCTAAACAGCAGTGTTGTTTCTGCTCTTATTTGCATTGCAGAGAGGTCAACCATGGCCCCTGATTCCCAGGTTCCAATTTAATAAGCTGCAGGTGGAAGATTATGGGGAGGAGGGCATATTGTAAACTGTAGGGGGGGGTTTGCTGGGATGCCCATTGAGCCATGTGTGCAGTGGGGAGGCTAGGGGCTCAGGGATACCCATTTCTAAGAATGTTGGTTTCTCCCGCCTCACTCTTGGAACTGCTGGATTCTCATACTCACCACTGCTCCACTAAAGATCTTGCCTGCCCTGAAGTCCAGCTCTGCCTCTTCAGTGGCACCAGCTGCTCTCACCTGTCAGGGACTCTGTAATAAGTGGAGTCTCCTCAGAGCACACTCAGTGTGCATATGGTGAGGTGGGCAGGGACTCTACAGGAAGGAGAGAAACTAAGGACACTGGGCAGATGCTGCTGCAGAGAGAAAGGCTCCTTGGGTCACATGATTCTCTGCTCATCAGTCCCTCCTCCTGCTCCTCCATGCTCCCTTTTGCCCCTCCCCTTCTGATGATGCTGATGCTGTTGTCTGGTCTCTTGAGCTCCCAGCATCTCTTGCATTTTGGGGCTCTGCTTTGTCCTTGGTTTGAAGCACACTCTGTTGTAGTCAGCAGTTCCACCTCTTACCCCACTTCCCCATCTGGATGACATCTGTCTAGAGACAGCTTCCCACTGGGGCTGTGCTGAACACAGATCCTGTGGAACTGCAGAAGTAACCAGGCAAAGCAACCAGCCAGGCAGTTCCCTCCACTTTTCACTGTGGCTCGCAGGGTTGCCCTCTCTTGTTCTGTCAAGTATAACCCCTGCAGCATTCTGGGTCACTCTCCTTTGACAGCATTGACTGAGCTGCAGCTTAGTCATTTTCTAGGAGTTCCCTTTTTATGGCTTTCTCCCAAGGGCACTGAGGACACAGGAATGGCTAGAAATGTGAAAGAAAGGAATATACTGGGTGTCCTAGGCTGGAATTTCTGCATAGGGATCCCCTGGAAGGTGGGGAAATCTCTCCTTCAGCTCCAGAGATGGAGAATAATAAGAAAGGGTTGAGACTGAAAGGGAATGGGAGTGCTGGTATCTCCGGGTGTGGTGGGCCTCTCTTATCATGTATGTCAGGCTAGGTTAGGTGGAGGTTAAGGCCATTGGGAATATGATCAATGGGAAAGTAGAAAGGGGAGGAAATAGACTGAAGTAAAGAAAGTTCCAGAGATCGTGTTTCATTTTGACTGCAACTGTAGTGGCTTTCTGGCAGCAGGTTTAATGATCAGACAGACAGGAAGGTGGTGAGGCTCATGCAGACACTGTGCCAGTGTACAGTCTGTCCTACCCCAGCCCCACGTGCATGCATTCTTTTCTCCTTAGCTTGAGCGTCCTTGCACCTAGCGGCTGGGGCTGGGGTGGGAATGTGAAGCAGAAAAAAAAGGAAGACTGCTCCAAGAAGCAAGTAGCACTTTCCAGCCCCACTTCTGAAATAATTCTTATGGCTATGTTTGGCAGCTGGTATTGGTTATTAGAAGTACAAGTGTGTGAAGAAAGCCCAGTGGTTAGAACAGCAGGCTGAAGCCTTGGTTGTTTCCTGCTTTGTGTTAAGGAGGGGAGGGTGAAGGAAGAGCTGGGCTGATGACAGGAGCTGTATCTACAGCTCCATGGGGCCCTCAGAGAAGAGATGACTATTATCTTTAGGCTGGAAGAGCATGGGGTAGCAGCCCCTCTAACAGGAGCCGCCACTAGCTGCTCATGATGCAGGCAGCAGGTGTGGGACATCTGTGCCTGGGATGAGGTTGTGGTCCCAGTGACCTTGGCTCTAACTTTCCCTTTGGTATCTGAAGTGAACTTGGTTGGGTCTCCGGTATGGAAGAAAAGGTCAGAATAGCTTGGCAGTGACCCGGTTACCTCCAGAGTTCTTATCCCCAGAGGGCCGAGGTGCCACAAAGTCAAAAGTCATGTGGTGCTTGACCCGGCCCTTGCCCTTGCTCCAGAGGGCAATCAGGGCAAAGCAGAGGGTCACTGAGGTGAGGAAGGGGAGGAAGCCCACCGCCAGCACCATAGCCACACCCCTGCTGTCCAGAAAGAAAGGCCTTGGGATCCCTGGCATGGTAATATTGGGATCAGAGAAGGTGCCATTTGGTGGTTCAACTTGGATTACTTCCAGCCAGGTCCTCAGGGAGTCATTCCCAGCTACATTGCTGACCACACAGACATAGGCCCCTCTGTCCCGTAGCTGCACTGAGCGGATCTCCAGTGTCCCATCCTCTAGGACCCTTATTCTCCCAGCCCTTCCAAGCCAAGCCCCCTGAGGCCTCATCCAGGAGACCGTAGGGGCTGGGTCTCCATCTCCAGAGCAGGAGAAAACGGCATGCCCCCCCTCCTCTGCAATGACCCACCGAGGCCCTGACTTTCGGATCAGGGCTGGTTTGCAAGTAAAGTGCCCTGGAGGCAGGATGTCTGAAAATTCCCTCAGGTTCTTCCCTTGGACATGCTGGGGGCCAGCACAGGCAGGAGGGGATGTGCCAAAGTCTAGGTGGTGGCGGAGCCGAAGAAGCCAGAGGAGGCGGCAATCACAAGTTAGGGGGTTTCCAGACAGCCTCAGTGTGACCAGTTTGTCTGGAGAAGGGAAAGCTGTTTCCTCCAGTGTCTGAAGTGCATTGTCTGCCACATCTAGCAAATGGAAGGCAGTCAAACCATGGAAAGCATGGGCAGCGATGGAGGTGAGACAGGCCCCTGACAGCCGAAGTTCCTGGAGCCGCACAAGGGGGCTGAGCCTTCGGGCTGGTATGGCAGAGATGGGGTTCTGAGATAGATCCAGGACCCTAAGGAAGCTCAGGTGATGCAATGCTTGGAAGGGCACTGAGCTCAGATTGCAGCGGGTGATGGCCAGGCTGCTCAAATTGAGCCCAACCAGGCTCCCTGGGTCCAGAGCCTCCAGAGATGGCCAGTGGTGGATCTCCAGCTCCTTTAGCTGTCCCAGCCCCTGCAGTGCCCCTGCAGGCAGCCTCTCAATATCCAGTTCTCGAAGCCTAAGGGCCACTAGTGCTGGGATCCGGGCAAGGGCCACACCAGGCACTGTACTGAGGTTGCAGCGCTCCAGGGTGAGGGTGCCCAGCTTGGCCAGCCCAGCAAAGGCCCTTGGAGCCACAAATACCAGGTGGTTGTCCCCAACCTCCAGCTGCTGGAGGCTGCCTAGCTCACCAAAAGCTCCATCTAGGAAGAGAACAATTTGGTTTAGGCGGAGGTCTAGCAGCGTGAGGGAAGACAGGCCTGAGAAGACCCCAGGCCCCAAGATTCGGAGACGATTGCCCTGCAGCCTCAGGGTGAGTAGACTCTGTAGACCATGGAAGGCCCCAGGCTCGAGGATGGAGAGCTGATTGTGGCTGAGGTCCAGTTCCTGGAGCAGGCCTAATCGAGAAAGCATGCCCCGCTGAAGCCCCCACAGGCGGTTCCCACTCAGGTCCAGAAGCTCAGTGTCCAGTGGGAGTCCCCCAGGGACAGCTTCCAGTTGCCTGTGGGCACAAATCACTGCCTGGGGCTGGGAAATACAGTCACATACAACAGGGCAGCTACCACTGCCCCCTCCAGGCAGGAGGAGCAGGAAAAGGAAAGGAGGCCATGGGGGCCAGGCTTGCTTTGAAGCTGTGGCTGTATCCATCCCCTTAGTCCCAGAAGAGATGATGACATGTATCTTTTTGGAAACCAACTTCAGTTGATGGTGACCCTCGACTTCCCTGGGTCTCCTTAGAAGGGAGAGAAAGTGGTCTGTCATCAGGTAGGGCCCAGAACCAGGAAGACTTCTTGTGCACCACCTCCCTGGGGCTCCTCTTTGGGAATTTCTCCTTTCCTCCCCAACCCTTCCCTGGATAACTGGTCATGTGCTTACTAGCTCAGGGAACCCTAGTCACCTTGATTTCTGTGAGGAGAGTTTTATGAGAATGGGAAAGGGAGCAGCAAGGGAAGTAACTTTGAGTCTCCTAGCAGCTGTAAGATCCAGGGATGCTTCAGTTCTCTTCTTCCTGGTATCTGCTGTCTCCAAGCTCTGCTCTGTTCCTCGTATCCCATCCTTGTTCTCTCATATTTTGTACCCACAGTTTTGCCAAAGGTTCAAGGAGATCACATCCTTGCCAAAGTTGGAGAGAGGTCCTTACCTTGACTAAGTCACCCAATGCTGGGGAATATGCAGCTCTGCCCCTAATCTCTGCCCTCCTTCAATCTGGCCCAATGCTTATGCCCTGGACTAGAATGCCTATGTGGACAGCAGCCCAGCTGCATATTACCCATGGCACAGGGTGCAGGGGGCACTTGATGGGGGAGCTGGTAATCCCTTACAAGAACTCCCAGGGCAGCCCTTCTCCCCTGCAGATGGTGTTGGGGTGTATGAGGGATCCAAAGTGTGCCCAAGTTTGATTTCTGTTGTCTGGTCCTCAGTTGTGGGCTTCTTTTAAATTCCTCCCTAATGGTGTTTTGATTCTAGTCTACTGTAATCTAGGGAGGCATAGATACGGGAGGAGAGATAGCACTGGACCAGATGCCATGGGGTGGGGAGGAAGGGAATCCTTGACTGGCACAGCAGACATCTTGGCACAGGCAGTGTACAGACCCTGCCTATTCAAAGCAGGTTTCTGGGTACCAGAGGCCTGGGCAATATCAGGAGGGTGGTGACTCTGAGGACTACCAGAGGCTGGCAAGGTGATAGAGGAGAAGGAGGTCTCTAGTGGTGAGAGCCCTTCAACTTCTTTTATTCAATGCAGTTGATGGAGTTGGCAAGACATGTCAAAAGGGTAGGAGCAAGAGCCAACTGGTGGGCTCCCGAAGGCACCATGTCTGGGTTTCTCCCTGGTTGCAGGTTCTGTCTCTTCTAGGCTTTGGAGCTTCGGGCTTTCTGGGCCCTATAGGGTCAGCTTTCTTCTACATGCCCCATTTTCTCCCATGTGGAACACAGGAGAGGTAGTTTAGGAGAAGGTATGACTCCTTCCCCTTCCTTCCTCTAGACACTTTAGAGGACTGTAGTAGTGGGGCAACTAAAGAAGAGGTCAAGTTTTTTGATCCTGAGCACTAGGGAAAAAGAAAAAAAGCTGACTCCTCTTGCTGCTGTGCCCACCTAACAAGCATCTCTGGCATGCAAAGAGTTCTTCAGGGAGAACAATGTCCCCGACTCCCTTCTTCACCCCGTGCCTGTTCTGGGAAGTCCACCTGACAGCTAGTTCTTCATCACTGCCACTGCAGTTCCTGTTCATCCTCTTTTTGCTCTGCATTCAGCAAAAGTGCAATGAAGCAAGGAACTCAGCTTCCTTCCTTCCCACTCCTGTGAGTTTCCTCTTAGTCCTCAAAGCCTGCTGGTCTAGGGGCTCGGGGACCTGGGGCCAACCTCTTTTATTTATAAGGTGGCTAATTTAATCACAAATTTCCCTTGCTATCCTCCATGGCTACAGGACTGGCTTCTGGCCACTTTGCAGAAAAAGAGAGGTCTCAGAACCACTCCTTTCTCTCTTTCAATAGGGTGGGGGCCTGGGGCATCACCCCCTCAGGGAGCTTTCTTATTTTCTTATGTGTATCCAGAGACACACATGTACATGGATGTGCTCTTTAACGCACACCTGATTGAGGCACAGGGACCTGCATAGGGAGGGGGCTCCTGGGGAAAGATTTCTAAAATATTCACTGACTATAGGGGGATTCCTTCCTAGAGATGGAGGGAACAGTGGGCAGAAGGAAAGGAGGTCTCCTTGGAGTCCTTCCACATTGGATATTTTACTTTCCCCATCAAAGTCCTGTGGGGCCAGGATTTTGGTTGGCAGGGGTAGGTAGGCTACAAACCCTCTTTCTGTTATAGATACACTGGTATGGCCTTGTCTTTGAGAATATTATGGGAAAAGGCAGCTGCAGCTTCGGGACAGAGGGCAGAGCACTTACCAGAGAAGCTGGAGGATGGCATCAAGTTGTACACTGCATCTGTCCAGGGCTGGGGACCCGTCCCATTCGTGCTGCACCTCGGACCCTGCACCTCCCTGGTGTGCCTCACTCCCCAGCCCCTGCAGCCCGACAGCCGCTGCACTGCTGTTGCTGCTGCCGCTGCTGCTGCCAAGGCTGAGGGAGAGAAAAGAGCCAGGAAGCATTTTTCCTTTTTTTTCTCTCTCTCTCTCTTTTTAAACCGGGCGAGAATGAGTCTGCAGCAACCCTGTTGGTGCAAAATAAATAAATAAAGCAAGGAGGGAAGGCTGCAGTAAGCGCCACTACAGGATGACGAGTCAGGGGAGGGAACAAGGAGGGAAGGTCAGTACTGGGGAGGGGGCTGCAACTGAGGCAGCTAGGAAGCTTGAAAGGTCCTTCTGACATCTGGATTCCCCTCTCAGGCCAACACCTTTGAGAGGATTGTCTTTTGGTCTCCCAGATGTGGGGCAATTCTGTGCAACCTCTAAATCTAAACGGCCCCATGGCTATCATTTGTGGGAAAGTTCTCAGTCTAGAACATCTCCATGGAGTTTAACTTGAGGCCTTTTAGTGGATACCTGAGGATCAGCTCACAAGTCTCACTGGGGGACTGCTCAGTCTGGGGAGAATCGAGGGGCGAGGGGGTCAGAATCCTTACGAAACTGATGGATTGCTTACTGGACATAGGGATGAGACCAGACAGCAGGCATGTATGTAGGTGTACTCAAGGCTCCCTCTACCCCTGGCACACACACACATACACACACCTCTTGCCTTTAAAATCATTTTATAAAGAATAGCACTAGTGGGGTTTATGTTTACCTAGCTAACCCTCTCTCTTGAGAGGAAAACACCCCTCTCCCTATCACCTGCTGTTGATCCCTCCTAAGAGGGTCCACAGTCATTTCTAAAGCTGAGAGACGTTCTAGGGCAAGATCATGGTGGGAGGAACAGGTCCCTGCCCTGTTCCTGGTTTGCTCCTCAGGCTGGAGTCAGTGGCACCTAATCACAGAACTGTGGGATGGTGTCACTTTCCTTTTCCAGTGTAGGGCTGGAGGCCAGAGCCAAGGAAGTCTTCCCAGGGGCTGTCCTTGGCCTTCTGACTATCCAGTGTCCAGCCCTGTCTGCTTTTCTTGATGGTTCTTGTGATAGAAGACAGCTGTAGCTGGGATGGAGTTTGGACACCCCATATCTAAGATTGGTGGGTTGGAACACTGTGAAAATATTCTGAGGTCCTGTTGGATTGGGACTCTTCCCTGAGGCCCCCCAGGCTTCTCTGAGCAGTGACCTCAAGGAGGAGATTGTGTCAGAAGAAACGTCTCCACAGAACTGCAGAGCTGCAGGTTGAGTTGGTATGTGTTTCACCTGTATGTGGATGGGTATCTCTGATCAGATTTGTGCCATTTTTAAAGTGCACACGAGAGGTTTGAGTTCTAAGTCCTGTCTGTGATACTCTTGGCCTCCTCCATTGTGCCCTCTCCCCATATCCAAATCCCATAAAGCAATTATCCTGACCCCTTGCCCACATCTTATCCTTACTCTCACATATCCAGGTTTTTTTTAGACCCCAGGAAAAGGGCAGAGCACCCAACAACTTCTTTGATGAACTGAGAGGAGGGCAGAAAATCTAAGGATCCAGATTCATGTTATATATGGATATATATAACACATCCTTCTGGGTTCTCGCCACCAGTCTCTTGAGCTTGATCCATCTCCCCCAGCTGAAGCCCATAGGGAAATGCAATGAGGTATTTCAAAGGCCTATTCTTAACTTCTGAGACCAGAGTTGAATTCTCTTCATCCAGAGTGCCTGGATTCATTCCCTGTTTTCTGGAGGACACCTTGGTCCTTCTAGAAGTTCTTATATCCCACACACCCCACACCTTCCAGAAACCAGGGTGGAGGGTATGGGAAATGAGGCAGAACGAAGTTTTCCTCCATCCCCACCCTCTGGCTATTGTCTCACTGCCAGACAAGCCTGAAGACAGAAAACCAGTCTCAGCATTTGCTCACTCCCAGAGAACAGGTGGGGATCACCTTCCAAAGGGCATAGGAAGGGAAAGGATGAGGGTGGAACAGGGTCCAGAGAGGTGGGCCAGGAGGCTGAAGGGAGAGGAAAGGCATTCCTCCTCTAGGTCACTTGGACAGCCCCTCAGGGGACTCGATTTCAGTGCTGAAGAGTTCCTTGTAGAGTGGAGGGAATGCAGCTTGGACCACGATGGGGTGGAGGTGCTGGAAGATCTGCAGCTTTTCCACATGCTGGCTGCACAGGCTCCGGAGCTTCCCTTTGGGTGGCAGCTGAGGATGGGTTAATGGGGAAGGAGGATCAGTATTTCCCCAGAGCAAACAAGTCCTGTTGCCCTTCCTGGGCTAGGGTACCCCTCACTGCTTTCCTCTTATTCACTTGACACTTTTGGATCAACTAAATCTCATTGGTAAAAGTATGTATGCATTCAGGAAACTGAAGGTAACAGAGAGCTGATGTGAGACAGGTAAATGTTTTCTGCATGAAGCCCCCAAAGCCATTTCTGGATCCTCAACACTAGCACTGTGCCTGGTGTGTAGCAATGGCTCACTTGAATGATTATATAGTGGGTTCTTCACACTGATTCTAAAGTAAATGGCCTAATAACAGCTTTCATAATAGTATTTCTTTGGCTTTTGGGCATTCCTATTGTCTAGAAACAGAGTCTGAACCCTTCTAAGGCACTGAAAATCCTATTTTCAGGCTTTGTTCTGGTACTCTTCACTTCATCAATCTATTCCAACTTCCGATCTTACACTTTAGTCAAATGTGCTATGACTTATTCTCCATCTGTGTACTATTTTGCCTCCTTACTTTTCCTCTTATCATTCCCTAAGTCTGTAATTTCTGCCCTCCCCTCATTAATGTCTGTTAAAATCTAGCATCTTTCATGGCCTTGTTTAAATGCCATTTTTTTAAAGGTAGCAGTTATGATTCATTCCTTTTAGTCTCAAATTGTTTGGAATCTCTGCACTATGCCCTTGTAATCTTTAACAAATTGGTGGCACAGGGATATGGCAGAAATAGCACTGGGATTAAATTTTACATTTGTCCATTAATGAGCCACATAAACAAGTCACTGAAGTTTCCACATATTACAGGGAGATAATAACACCTTGTCCTATTGACTGGGTTGCTATGAGCATGAGAGAAAGTATCAGTGAAAGTACTGTGTTAATTGTATTATTATAACATCACATATCACATTCTATTCTATATCAGAGTTACATTAGAAGATACGGTTTCTTCATAGCAGACTAAAATATCTTGGTAGGGGCAAGAATTGAATCTCTGTATCTTTCCACAGTGCCTTGTACAAGCAGGTGCTGGGTAAGTGTTTGGCTATATTAAACCAAATTGTTCCCTGGAGGTCTCTTCTAATTCCAGGCTCTCTAACTTTCCATCTCTATGCACATGGAAGTAGCTGCCTGTTCCCTGTCCCCACTGCTGTTGCAAGCTCTCTGACACAATGTGGTACTCAGTATTCCCTCCTCTGCACCCTCAGACCCTAGCCCTGATGTCATAGATCTGGCACTGGGCCTGGCCTCTTTTACTCCAGGGACTGTTCCTACCTCTGCCAGGATGCCTTGGCGATGAGTCTTGCAGAGATGATGATGAAAGGCCAGCTCCAAATTGTATTGCAGCTGCTCCACTTTCCTTTTCTCTTGGAGCCCTGGCCGGTCTGAAGGAAGGGATGGGACCAGAGAGAGAACAGAAAGAACATGGATGTCTACTTCCAGCAAAAGGGCTAGAAAGGCACCTTCAGCTTGTGCTCTCTCTCTCTCTCTCTCTCTCTCTCCTCCTCCTCCTCGTCCCCCTCCCTCTCTGTTTTTTGATTTAAAAATTGTGAGCTCTGGGACCCTGAGCTGAGTTAGCTGTCTACAAGGGAACCTGGGGATAAATGAAAAGGATGGGAACTTCTAACCTCTTAACTTCAAGCTATAGTCTCTCTGATAACCTGGTATTTCAGAATTCTAGCACTAGAATTCTGGATCCTTTCATGGTTTGTGTATGTGTGTGTGTGTGTAGTGGGGGTTGGAAAAAAGAGTTCCTCCCACTCCTACATGAGTGGCTCTGGATAGGAGGTGGCCTTCTTCATGTCACCCAGGCCCACACCTCCATTGCTCCTCTGTAGCATTCTGTGGCTCGTTTCAATTCCCAAACCATCTTTTGCCCTGCTTCCTCAAAATACCCAGAAGTCATCTTTTAAGTTTCTATTTCCAGTTTGAGGGGCATGTTGGTAGAGCTGAAAGATTGGTACTTTTGATCTGCACACTAAGGTTGGCAGTTGGACCCACTTCTCCAGGTTCTATGAAAACGTAATTGTTTAGCTGGCTCAGTCCAGCTGCTCCAGTCCAGCGGAGTGGATATCCAGAGCCCAGGCATTCCATCCTTAAATGAGCTCACACGGAGCAGTGATCCTTAAACTTGGTGGCATAGAGGAGGCTGTTAAAAATTCAAGTGCAACCCAGACCAATTACTAAATCAGAATCTCTGGAAACAGGATCCGGGCAGCAATAGTATTTAAAGTTCCTCAGGTGATTCCAATGTGTACTACAAAGGAGTCACTGCCATATACGGATGAGAACTGGTTCATTTCCTCTCAAGTTCGCTTCTCCCCACTCCTACCACCCCACCTTGTGCTGCTTTTGTAAGGCTCCTCTGAATTTTCATTTTAACTTATTTTAGAGCAGTTGGGCTCACTGGGAAGGGCTCATTCTGCTATTTCAAGCAAGCTCCAAGATTTAACCTAGACTCTTCAATATCTGCCATGCCTTGGCCACCAGAATGTCCTTTCCCCGCCCCCAGCCACACTCACTGGCATTGATAAGAACAAGGGCCGTGTAGAGGGCAATCTCATCCTCGGAAAAGCGCAAGGCACTGAGGGAATGGGAGAAGTCAAAGATGGAGCTGATGAGCTCACTGCAGCCTAATGGAGTGGAAATGAGAAGAGTGAGCAAGGCAGGATAGACCATGGTGCCCAAGGACACCACCCTTTGTGTGTTAGTTGCAGAAGGGGTGCAGTACAGAAGGTGCTTTGGGTCATGAAGCTTTGGATGGGGTTGGTATCAGAATCCTTTCTCTTATTTTCCCCTGTCTCTCACCCAAGGCTCGGAACAGCTCCACGCCACCGTATTTGCCTTCAAAAAAGACTGTGTGGTTGTCAGCATTGTAGGCCCGGCACATCCTGACCAGTACAACCTCCATTGCTCCTGGGGAGGGGGAAGAAAAGATGAGTGGACAGCATCAAGCAAAGCCAAATCTGTCTCTGACCCCCTCAGGGTCATCCTAGTTTCTTTAGGCCCGCTCCGTCCACTTGGCCCTGTCCAGTCCATGGTTGGTACCCTCTCCCCCCGGCTGCCCACCCATCCCTGGGCACCTGCTTTCAGTAGTACGATCTGGTCATTCTGGCAGAGCTCCATAAAGCCTGAGAGCCGCTTGGCAAACTCCACCACATACTGAATGGCCTCGGTGAGGCGGTGGGCACAGCGTTCCCACATCTCCCACATCGACTGCGGGACAGAGGGAGATCCTGTTGTAGTCCCCCATGTGACCCTGTGATCCTTCCAAGTTCCCAGGAACCCCACATAATAAACTGAGGGGGGATATGTGCTGAACTCCCACATTCTCAACGTGGGCATTTAAAAAGCTTATTCTTAGCACAAATGAACTTGGGTCCCATTCAAGTCACTCAGTCCCATTTACTGAATACTCACTAGCTCTGTACAAGGGAATCTGGGGAGAAATGAAAAGCATGGGGACTTCATCTCCCTGATAACCTGGTATTTCAGGTAGCCCATCCAATGATAGGAACTAGGCTTCTACCAAGGGGAGGAAAAACTCCTTTCACTCCTGTAAGAGTGGCTCCAGCACTCCACAGCTCACACCTATAATCCTAGCTACTCAGGAGGCAGGAGGATCACAGTTCAAGTCCAGCCCTGGCAAACAGTTTGAGAGACCCTATCTCAAAAATACCCAACACAAAAAGTGGGCTGGTGGAGTGATTCAAGTAGTAGAGTGCCTGTCTAGCAAGCATGAAGCCCTAAGTTCAAACCCCAGTATTGTCAAAAAGAAAAAAAAAGAATGGCTCCAGATAGGAGGGGGCCTTCCTGAAGCACTGGATTAGCTGTTGTAGGGGGAATAAAAACCAGATGAGTTACAGCTTTACCCTTAAACAATCTGCATCTTGTTGAGTTAAGAAGGACATACTACTTATTCTTCCCCTAAAAAAAAAAAAAAAAAGGACATACCCACATTTGCCTCAAAAACAAATGTGAAGTGCCAAACGAATGTTTTTTAGAGCAGGTGGTATTGTTAGTGTGTGATAGAAGAGACAGTTTACACTTTGGAACTCATGGATCTGAACTTGACTTTAGCTCCATATTTTTTGGTCTTGACTAAATATATACATGAGTAAATGCCACCCTTAGAGGCTGGTTGTTGGAAAGGTTGAAGGATAATCTATGTAAGGCATTTAGGACAATGCTTGGTAGAGAAAAGGTGTTTAACAAGCCGGGTGCCAGTGGCTCATGCTTGTAATCCTAGCTACTAGAGAGACTGAGATTGGCAGGATTGCAGTTCCAGGCCAGCCCCAACAAAAACAAAAGTTTGTGAGACCCTATCTTAATGGAAAAAGAAAAAAAAAAAGAAAAGAAAGAAAAGCTGTGTGCCTGTCATACCAGCTATGGCAAGAAGCATAAAATAGAAAGATCATGGTCCACACTGGCCTGGGCAAAAGGAGAGACCTTATCTCCAAAATAACTGGAGTAAAAAGGGCTGAGGGTGTGGTTCAAGTGGTACAGCGCCTGCCTAGCAAGTGTGAAGCCCTGAGTTCACACCTTGGTACCACCAAAATAAAACAAGAAAAAAAAATGTGTTTAACAAACAGTCCTCAAGTTCTGATTAGTGTTAGTGCAGATGGAGGAAGAAGGAGAGGACCCCAAGGTCTGGGTACTAGAGAAGGTGGGTTGAAAGCTGGGTAAAATTTTAATAGGCAGGAGATAAGAATATATAGATAATAATAGAATTATTATCTATGGATGATAATCCATAGATACACAACCATACTGAAAAATAGTACACACTTATTAGGCAGCCTGTGTCTCTCTGTGATACCCCTCCCCCAGACCCAATGGCTGGTAGCTATCTCTGGACTCTCTCAGTGGTGGTAGGGCATACTCCCTTCCCCCATGGTCTCCTGACCTCACCTTCCTCTGGTAGCTTGTCACCTCCTCCCGAGAAAAGAGGTTGGCACGCTGACGTAGCAGGTCCTCCAGCCGCAGCTGACACGTTTCTCGGTAGGACTTGCAGACATTTTGTACCAGGTGCTCTGGGGTTGGAGGAGGAAGGCATGACTCAATCTCAGTCAGCTCCTACCCCAACCTTTACAGGGATGGTTCTCTGCCTGGCCTACTCTGTTCTGCCTTCTTTCTCAGCCCTTAGTCCAGAACCACTTGACAACTAGGGACTTATGTTTGGTTGACATGGGCTGCTGGCAGAATCCCCTCCCTCATTTTCATCACTCCCTCAGCCCCCCCAGATGCTCACCCATCTCCGTCAGAGAAGCATATGGTGCCTCTGGGGTGCTGCGGAAACTTGGGCTGCAATAGCCATCCAGGCCCTGTCCTGGATCCCCAAGCCCAGGATGCCTAGGTCCCTCAAAATGAAGTCCACATCTGCCAGGTGTAAGCTGGCTGCCCCTGCTATAAATGCTCTCTCTGCCTTCAGCCTTGCGTCGCTCAGGGCTATAAGCAAGGTGACAGGAGGCCCCATTGAGCTCTGCCTTGGCCAAGTTGTTGGAATATGACAGCCCAGAGCCTGAGGCTCTGAGAAGGCCAGGGGGACAGGCAGAGGCCTCGGGCAGGTCAGGTGAGGCGCCCAGAGGTAGCTGCCCATCCGAGAGGCCCAAGGTGTAGGTGAGGGTGTCTGCTCCATGGCCCCCTGATGGAGGGGTCTTGGTCACTTGTTCCTCCTGTTGCTGCTGCTGCTGCTGCTGCAGTTGTTTCTGTACTTCTGCATGCAGGCTGTCCCTCTGCTTCTTGGACATGCGGCCGAACTTGACAGCTGAAGGAGGTCCAGGGATCAGAAGTTTAGGAGGCAGGAGAATACAGTTAGGGCAGGGTCAGCAGGCACGTGGATCATTACAGAATAAACCTGCTGTTTTCTGATCCCAGGTCCTACTTCTCCAGCCTTGCCTAAGAATCTCTCTTTTGGGAACTTAGGCTCCAAACTCCTCCCACCCCTCACTCTTGTTCCCTTCAGGACCTATCTGATCTGCCATTTCTATTTCCTGAGCAAAATTTTTTCAGTTAAGCTGGCTTCTAATAGTGGCAGAATTCAAGCAATGAACCTGGGCTGGGGAATTCTCGCCTCCTGAGATTGAGGCTGGGTTGGTGGTGGTTGAGTAGGGGGCCTCAGGCTGTATTGGGGTCAGCTTGCCTGTCTGGGAGGGCCAGAGGAAGGGGAGGGCTGAGAACACAGGTCTCCCTGTGGTCAGGCCTGCAGGCTCCCTGGTGACCTAGATACTCACCACAGCCCAACCCAGGCTCCGTGGCTTGCTTCTGAACATCCTCTTCTGCTCTCTCTTTCCTGCCTTTTTACTCCCCCCATCACCCCTCCCAGGTGTGGGGGCACAGCCCCTCGCCCCGCCTGCCCCTTTGCACCCCTGCAAGTTTCCTTTCGCTTTGTTATTTTGAGCACTGAAAAGTGCTGACAGGCTCCTTCTGGCTCCTCATCATCTCATGCCCCCCCACCCCCTGCACCCTGGGCTCCTTCTGTGGTGGGGGATGTGGGGGGACTGGTGAGGAGGTGGTGGGTGAGGAGAGTGGATAAGGCACTAGGAATACCCGCCTATCCACTCCCTCATTCTGGGTCCTTCTCAGGCCAACTCTGGTCCCATTCTTAGCCATAGTGCTTTGTCCTATGATGGAATGGAGGAACAGGGAGGGAGATGGATCTAATCTAGGTCTTGGTAGACCTAAACCGTAGGCAGAAGGGAAAGATGTGGAAACTTTCCCTCTGGGACTGGGCCAGAGAGAGCAGTGTGAAGAGAACTCATCTAAGGAAGAAGAGACGAGACAGCTGAGACCTTGGGAAAGGTTTGTTGGCAAAGAGCCTAAAGTTGGAAAAGCTCTGAGGGGTGACTCCCAGAGAGAAGAGACAAGGGGCTGTGAAGCAGAGGAATGGAGCAAGGTCTCTGGAAGGGCGTTTTGCAGGCCATCCTCTGCCTGGCACAGCAGGCCATCCACCCTTCTGGAGGTGGCAGAGAACCCCTAGGGGCTGCCTACTCAGGCTCACCATCTCGGGACATGCCCAGCGCCAGGCATTTCTGCAGGCGGCAGTGCTGGCATCGGTTACGGCTAGTGCGGTCGATGGGGCAGTTCTGCTGGCGGGTGCAGGAGTAGGTCACGTTACACTGCTGGCTCCGGCGAAAGAAGCCCTGGGGAAGACACGAGGAGACCCAGGCTGCTTATCCTGGTGACGCCTGGCTCAGTTCTGAGGATCTCCAGCCCACTAGTGCTGGCCCAGCTTTCCCATATCCTATGATCCACCCTCACTCTTCTTACCTCCATTTATTTGTGTAATTGCAATTTGCTCCATGCTCAGGGTCTTCTAGGGAGGCACTAACTTAAGGATACCATTAATCCCCTTGTCCTCCAGCTCTGAAGAGACTGTGTGCGTGCATGTGTTTGCAGATGCCTACAACTCACCTTGCACCCCTCACAGGTGATAACCCCGTAGTGGATCCCAGACGACTTGTCCCCACAGATTTTGCAAGGGATCACTTCAATTTGTGCTGGAAGGGAAAAAAAGACTCAGGTCAACCCAGAATTTTTTTTCTTTTTTTTTTTGCATTCCAGCACCATGTGGAATGGTGCCTGGTACTTCCCCCATTTTTCCAGCCAGTTCCAGCTTCTTGTTTCCCTCTTGCAAAATGGAAGGGGAAGTGAAGTGGCAAATGCTTCTCAGCAAAGGGTTTGAGGAGAGTGTTTTTCGTTTCACAGAGGAGGGGGCAGCTGAGAGGTGTACCAGAAAGCAGCTGCAAAGAGGCCATCTGCTCAGCCATCAAGTTGAACATCTCCAGCTGCCCCCCTCCTGCCTTGGGCCATAGGAGTCCTCACTGCCTCGCAACACCTGCTTCCCGCCCAAGGAGCTTCCTTTTTGCCTCCCTCCCCCACTGGGGCTTGGATTGCGTGGGCAGTGTGGAGTATGGCAGAAAGACAGGGTACACTAGACAGGAGGCAACTAGAAGCTAGGCAGAGATGCCAGCCATTCATTCAGCCAGACAGTGAAGGCTTGGGGAGAGGCTGCATAGAGAGGCAGGAGCTGAGAGGAAGGCTCACAGATAGGGTTCAGAAAGGCCAGGAAGAAGCCACAAATAGAGTCCAGGAGAGTCGAGCTCAACAACCCAGCTCTGCTGGATACCTGAGAGCCCAGGGAGAGAATCAAATAGATCTTCTAGGCTCTCAGCCCCAGAAGAGACAGAAGGTGGCTCTGTATGTATCAGTGTAACAGGATGTACAAGAGCATCTGTGTCCACCTGTGTGAGCGCAGATCATTGACAGTTATAACTGGCTGAGATTACAGAACACCTCAGTCACCCTCTCACTTGACAGATGAAGAGTGAGGTCCAATAAGGGAAGATTGTTTGCCCAGGTTCACATAGCTAGCTTGCCTGAGAGTTGGGTCTCCATCTCTGTTCCCTTGGGGTGTCCATTATGCTGCATTGTGTACACATATCACTGGGCATGTTTGAAAGTGTGCTTTCATGTGTGTGCACATTGGCTGTGGGCCCATAGCATGTCTGCTTGTGCCAGTGTGCACACATGTATATTTGTGTGTTAGAGCTTTGCTCACTATGCACAGGACCCATTGAGCTCACTGTAAGCTGTGCTTGCTCACTCTCTCCTGTAGCTTGCTGCTGGCCCCAGGTTCATCTCCTTTCCTCTGCCTGTTCCCGTCAGTGCCCACAGCTGTCTGCAGAGTTTCAAGGGACTTGCAAAAGGCCTTCTCCCAGCCCTTCCTCAAAAGGCAGCTGGGAAAACTTGGAATCCCTGGCCACTTTGGGTGGTTTTAGTTCTTTCAAGGACCTATGAATCTTTTCCTCCATCAGTGGCCTTTTGTTTTCTCCTCCAAGGGGGAGGCCAGGAGTGCAGCAGATCAGAAAAATCATCTGTGGCCAAAGCCTCTTCTAATCTGTGACATGTCTCCCACCGTAGGGGCAGAGGAACTGTCCCCTGGAGGGTAAATCTACATTCCCATGAACTTACTTTCATCTCCAGCCCCAGTCTCAGCCCTGGTAACATGTAGGGCCTGCTTATATGAGGTGAAGAGGGAGACCATGACTTACCCACCAGTCCCTGAAATACTTTTTCTGCCATCTTTTTTTTTTTTTTTTGTCTTTTCTTTTTTGGTGCTGGGATCGAACCCAGGGCCTCATGCATGCTAGGCAAGTGCTGTACCACCGAGCTACATCCCAGCCCTTTTTCTGCCATCTTTAGACTATCATCCTCTCAGGCCAGAGTTGAGCTGAGTCAGAGTAAGTAAATGCCTCCTTATGGGGACAGGCCACATGAGTGTTTTGAAATCCTTCCATTAGAACTCATGTTCTTCCCCAACCCCCACCCATACTTGATTACCTGACACCCGTACAGTAAGCTGTGCTCACCTCAGGACAAGAAAGCAAGTGAGCTTTTCAGAGGCTTTCCAATAAATTATGAGCAGATTTCAATGCATAGAAGTGAAGAGAGAACAAGAAGGAAGATGGGGGCCTGAAAGAGGGGCAGAAAGTATGGGAGCACTTGTGCTTCTAGTCACTTGCATTCTCTCTTTCAGCCTCAGTTTCCTTGGCAGTAAGATGAGGATAAAAATAATATTGCCTGTTTGAGGGTGACTGTAGGTTGTACAGCATGATTAAATGACATCACCAGTGGAGTACCCTATAGGGCACACTACCTGTGCCAGTTACTGCTGACCCAGGTAAAGCAAAGAAATTGTGGGCATGGCCAGGCCCGGGAGAAGCACTTAGGCCTCACAGTTTTTTTTCTCATCCAACACCTTCCCCTCCAACCCTGTGGTATCTTTCTCCTCAGTGGCCCTTAGACCAGAGAGGGGGGAAACCAACGTGGGTCACCCAAAAAAGCAAGCTGGGGGAAGATTAGGCCAAGCCACAGTGGGAACTTGGGCTCTGGCCCAGCAGTCAACCACAGGCCTCCCTGCCTCTTCCCTTCTCCAAGAGCCACATCCGTGTGCGTGTGTGCACTGACCACATGGGTGACCCCAGCCATGTCTCCCTGCCCCATGCCTGACCCACTGCTGGTCTTGGCCCTAGGAACCTCACCACGGTGTCACCAAGACCATGCCTTCTCATGGGAAGATGTGGTCAGCCAAGAACCCCTTTCACAAATACCATATTAGGGGGATATTGGAACCTTGGACCCCAGTCCTCAGGGCAGCCTGTCCTCCATCTTCCCTAACCCAAAGGCAAAGGAGCACAATGGAAGAGGCACAGAGGGCCAAACCCTCTAACCTCTCTGATCTGGAGGGACTAAGAGGTTCAGGACTAGGAGAAAACAGAGGCAGACCTAGTGATGGAGAGATAGCTGCAGAAACATAAGAAAGCCATACTGGTGTTCTGGCCCTATGCCCAACTTTTAATACTACCAGGCTTCTTGCCTTACTCCTCTCTCTTTCCCCTGCCACCTGCACCCCCTTCAATGCCATCCACCCCAAACCTCAAAGAGAAAGTACCGGTGTGCATGTGTATGTGACTTGTGGGGAGGAGGGGAAGGATGGGGTGTGTGGGGTGGGGGGAGAAAGGAGCTGAGAAACACCTCAGATAGGCACCTTCAAGACTTACCCCATGAACCAGTCCCTGTGCAGCAGATGGTGGGAACTCGGATTGGGGAGAGGGAGCTGAGTAATCACAGGATTACTCAAACTGTTGCCTGGGAGCCTGGTCTGCCAGGAACTTACCATGTCAGGGCCTAACGGTGCCAGGAACTGGAGCCAAGCAAAGGTCAGGAGCCTTGAGGCCAGCCTCTGCCCCACTGCTCCCACAACAGCGGAACTCTGCCTGCTTCCTCACCCACTTGCTTTGGGAAGATATTTTGTCTCGCACTATATCTCTTCTCTGAGGAAGATGAGAAAACTGAAGTCTAGAGAGACTTGGTGGCTTGACTAAGACTACACAGGCAGAAGTGGCAGATCTGCATTTGAACCTAGGTCTCTATAACTCCTTAAGCTATGTGTTCTATGAGGATGAGACACCTCAAGTTACCAAGGAAAGAGGGATAGAGGTAAGGTTGTTGGTTATTGAAAGAAAACCCTCCAATCCCATACTTTCAAAAGGTGAGAGAAATGCCTGGGTGCACAGCTACTTCCCTAAATCGTCTAGTTATGGGATGACTCTACTCTTTTGCTTCTCAACATCTCAAACAAGATCACCTGGGAATCTTATTAAAATGCAGGTCTTGGGGACTGGGAATTGTAGCTTAGAGGTTGAGTGCTTGTTTAGCATGAGTGAAGCCCTGAGTTTGATCCCCAAAACTACAAAAAGCCAAGCAAGAAAATGTAGGTCCTGGGACTGTAGTTTAGTGTTAACAGTGTTTGCCTAGTATGCACAAGGCCCTGGGTTGCATCCACAGCACCATAAGACAGAACAAACAGAATGTAGATCCCTGTTCAGAAGATTGGGGACGGGGCTTCAGATTCTGCATTTTAAGAGGTCCAGGTTGGTGCCTAAAGGTCTTCAACCTGTACTTTGAATAGCAAGAATTTAGTCCTTCTGCCTGCTTTTGTGCAGGGCTGCTCCTCCCAGGGGGCCAAGATAGATTTGACAATCTCTTCCCTGGCTCTTTTTCTTTTTGGTGTTAGGTTTTGAATTCAGTGCCTTGAGCAAGCTAAGTGCAGGCTCTACCACCTAGCTACACCACCAGTTCACCAAGTTCATTCTTACATCTTCCCTACCATTCAGTGTGACCTTTAAAAGTTCATTCTGATGTAGGCCTAGAAAAAGAAAACGAATTTCCTCTGGATTGCTTCAGAGATGGAAGGCTCCCTGTACACATCCCCTCCAGAGCCTCATATGAGGAGAAATACGGTAGAGGCAAACCTCCTCTCCCTCCAGCCTCCTCTAATCTCACCCTGCTCACAGCTGTGAGATTCATTGATAGAGCTCTTTGAATGTATCCAGAGCCTGGCCCTGGGTCTCTCCAGGTGTCCTATGCCACAGAGAGGAAGTGGTAGGAGCAGAGGAGGGGTTGTAACTCAAAGGGATCTCACCGCCTCCCCCTAAGCCCCAGAACCACCCCAGAACAGTGGGAAAATGATTTAGACTGAGGAACCCTGAGGTTCTCACCTCCTCTTGAAGCCCTGTCAGTCTATGCTAGGCCCTTTTTTTCTTCTTCTCTCTTCCTGTTCTCCAGTAGATATTGAATAAGGAGGAATAACAATTATGGACATAATTCATTTCTGATTTCTTACTTTTTGCCAGACTTCACAATACATTTTTAATGATTACAACAGCCCTGTGAATTTTACAGATGAGAAAACCAGGGCCTAGAGACTTGGTAGTTTGACTAAGGTTACACAGGTAGAAGTGGCAGATTTGGCATTGGAACCCAGGTCCCTGTAACTCTGGAGCCATTGCCCTCAACCATTAAGCTATGTGGCGATGAGATGCCCAAAGGCACCAAGGAGAGTGGAATAGGCATAAGGATATTGACTGCAGGGGGAAAACTGTGAGAGGAAGGTGGTGAGTAAAAAATTTAGGGAGGAAACCCACAGGATTAAAGCCAGGAGAGATATTCCTCCTGCTGTAGCTTTTCCTCTGTGAACCCAGCCCCCTCCTGCCGTTACCCATTTCTCTACAGCCAAAGTGAGACAACTTGTCCATCTCAAGTGAGCTCCTGAGTCGGGACTCCTTCAGGCCGTAGTTTCTTTGGGATGCAGACTAGGTTTCTTACATCTTGGTAGGTCTTTCTTTACAGAAATGAATGAATAAATGAATGGACGAGAAACAGGAAGACATATCTCTTCTTGACTTAGGCCCCTCCTCTCCTCACTGAGACCACAGCTCCAGCCAGGAGTCCCCTGTGTAACCCAGTCTGTCACCAGCCTCCCTCCTTCCTCAACTCTCGGTTCCCCCAGCTTCTGCAATGCTGGAAATCAAGGTGGTAGGCACCACCACAGGGGAGCAGGAGCAAGAGGTCTGGGTGGTGAGCCACCATTTCTACCTGGTGGACATTACCCCAGTCCAAAAAGGGGCCTCCCAACAACCCCTGGTGAGAGTTTTCTGCTGATACACCGGGATCCTAGAGCTGAGAAAATAGTGAAGCTAAAACTCAGGTGGGCGAGGGAGAGTCTGGGGTTTTGCAAAGCCATGAAAGACAGCCAGCTACCCGAAACCCCCTCCTGCTGCCCCCGCCACCCCCGCAGTCTGGGACAGGAGAAAGGAGGGGAAACAAAAGAACCCAGTGAAAACAACCAGTGCATGGGGGGAGGGGATGAATCACCAGGAGGAAGCTCTGAGGAGTGGGACCCCAGACATCACACTCAGCAGTGTCTCTTGCCTCCAGTGCCATAGCTCTTTCCAGGGCATCTCTGCTGCTCTGGGAGGCCAGTAGACCCAGACTCTGGCTCTGGCCCTGGGACCCTGCCCTGTAACTGTCCCACCCCCCAAACAGACATCTCCATCCTATCTGAGCCTCTAAGCCCCAGAGAAGGGGCTATGTTGCAGAAGCAAGAGGAGCGGAGGTTAGATCTTAAGACTCCAAGGCTGCCTTCCTAGGAGAGTCCTTAGTACAGAAAAGTCCCTGTTCCCTGCTAGTTTGAGTCAGCAGCATGGTCAGGGGTCGGGGAGAATGAGCCTCCAGTAGGGATGGAATACAAACACACTCATATTTTCCTAATGATAGGATGGGCCAAGACTCTCCACATTCTAGTGCCTTGGGCTCCAGGTGGTTGGCATTTTTGCTAGGAATGGAAAGAAATGAAAAGAGAAAGGTGCAGGATTGATGCAAGGAAAGAGCAAACCCTTTACAAAGTCCTCAGAGGACTCTGGACCCTCAGGGTGAGATCTGTGGCACCCAAGGGACTTGCCGTTCTTTCTAACCTGTTGCTCTTCATTATCATGATAGTGAGGACAGGCATGTGACATCACACCCCTTGGTCTCCCACCTATCCAGGCCCAATGCCAGGGTCTTAATGCCTATTGGTTCTGCACTCACCAGTCCCTTAGGGTGAGATAGCTGAACCGCCCTCTCTCTGGTTGGCTGAGAGTCTCCCTGTGTCTGTGCCTTGTGATCTGCACTCCAGCTGTCTCTGGGTTTCACACTGCACAGTTTTGGTTCTCCTAGTATGTTCCATCCATGTCTCCATCTAGACATCACCCTTTCCCTACATGTTTCTTAAATCTATCCTTTGAATTCAGCCTCTGCATTTCTTTATTTCTTGAACTGTTCTTGTCCCTTGTTTGTCTGGCATTGGGGTCTGTCACTGTCCCAAGCCCCATGTACTTGTGCTCTGACTCTCACCAACTTATGGGTCCAATGCAGAGCTGCCCAAATGTCTTCCTCAGCCACTTCTGGGGACTTCTGATTCCCCTTCCTTTTGGGCTTGAAATCTACCAAAACATGGCACCCCAGGGTTGATTTGCTGATTTGGTCCACTCTGCTAGCCTTTGCCACTAGTGGGTAGAAGCTAGAAAGAAAACTGAAGCCCTACTTATGTTGTTTGGAAGCTTTTGGTTTGTCTCCTCACCCTTCTTTACCCACCCCAGCTCATACACCTGCACTGCAGTCTCCTCTCAATCACAGAGGTGGAGCTCCTTTCTTGCCTTGTCCTCTTTTCCTTCTACCCTCTGAGAGGGCGGAGTCTCTTTCACTACCCTTGGGTAGCCTAACTCAGGGGCCAAGGCCCTCTCCTTGGTACTGGGCTCTTAGAATGGGGACACTCTTCATAGTTGGTTTTGCTGTTTTTAAGCTTAATTCTTTTGGTAAGCAGACAAGAGACCATAGTCCCAGTGACTTGCCAAAAGGTGACATGGCAAAGCAATGACAGAAATGGCATCAGAACCTGCTGGTAGACTCTCAGTCCATGGGTCTTTCCAGGACCTGACATGGCCTCCCCTCTGTGGCTTGTGGGAAGACCCCAGGTTGAAGCTGGGACTACCTCAAGCCTCAGGGACACTGGCTTCCCTTTTCCTCCTTCATTTTGTGCTCTGAGAGGTTCCATAACTTCCTTTACATAGAAGGACTGTCTGATTTGCTTACCTTGTTTGGCTAGAAGACAGACCCCAGACATCTGCACACTAGTTGTTGGCCCACGTTCCAAACTGGGAAGGGAGTGAGGGTGAGGGCTTTCTGTTCCCATCCCCTGACCCTCCTCATCAAATAGGCAACTGAACCTGGAGGAACACACACACACAAACACACATACACACACGCGTGCACATACACATGCATGCACATGCACACACACAGTGCAGTGGACCCTGGCTGGATGGCACTTAGTCCTTATGTTCCTGGGTAGACAGAAAGTGATTCCAAGGTGTAGACACTGGGGTTCTGACCCCCATTGCCTGCTGACCTCAGTTTACTGTAACTGTCCTGCTTCAGGGCACAGCAACTCCTCTGGAGGCCCCGGATGGAAACATTTCACTAGTTGCTGGGGAGAGTAAGTCCAAGGCCCTGGTAATTGCCACCCTCCATGTGCTCCCAGATGTGTGCTCTTGGGTACAACACTCCCTGGAGGGGCTGGACACCTCAGGCACTCCCAGAGTCTTTCTAGAACTCACCCACAACAATTCTTTTACTACCACTGCTGTAAGGAAGTTCCTGGAGACTCCCAGGCTACTCCGCCCCTCTCCCAACAGATTTTGACCTTGACTGGGACACACCCTGACAGGGAGGAGCCCTTGGCTTCTTTCACACTGTTCCGACACCCCTTCTGTCCAGAGGACCCAGGGATGATGACAGGACCCAGGTTTCCCCCACACCCAGGTGGCCCCATTCACTTACTTCTCATGACTGAGCCTCAGCTAGGCGGCTTGGCCAACCTTGGCTCTCTGTCCTCAGCAGGGTGGTCCAGGGACTGGGCACAGCTGGCAGCAGAGGTGGGGGTGAGGCCCTCTCAGCGGTGTCTCAGCCCACAGCTCTGCACCTAGCTCTCCCCCAGTGCTTCTGGGCAGGGGGGGTTTATGCTCTGCACCACACAGGTGGCCAAGTGACCCCCCCCTTTCAGGGGTGCAGTGGTAGGATGACTGACGCCCCACGTGGCCAATCCGGGCCTGGGGCAGGGTGTGAGGGGCGGGGCAGCCAATCGTAGGGGGCGTTGGAAAATTCCAAAACCACATGCAACAGCCACGCACTGTAAAGCGCGGTAAAAGCTGTTTCCACTTGCCAGGGTAGTTCTGGTTGGGGAGCTGGAGGGGAGCTCCTATTCCCCTCTTCCTGAGGATCCCGAGTCTGACCTTTTGTGCCAGGTGACTCCAGGGACAGGGATGTCCCAAAGGTAAGTCACAGGATGCCTGCTGGGGGTGGCGGCATGTGCTGCTGAAACCCTGTGGATTGCTAACAGCCATACTCAGCATCTCGGGGCTGTCTGACCCCCTGTCATGCTCACACTCCTCCCTACAGACATGCTGTATACCTTGGGCTAGGGAAGCATGAAATAATGTTAGCAGTCATGATCACCAGGAAAATATCCCGAATCTGCAGGAGGGATTAGACCATCAGAAATTTCCTTAGGGTCTGAATTGGAATGCAGATGATGACAATAACCATCACCTTATTTAATCATCATAATAGTGCTTACTACGTTTTATCTGGATTATCTAATCCTTAAAAAATGCATCATGAGGTAGCTACCATTATCCCCTTTCAAAGATGAGGAAAGAGAGACACAGAGAGCTTAAGTAATTTGCTCAAGATCACACAGCTAGGGAGTAGTACAGCCAGGATTCAAGCCCAGGCAGATTGGCCCCAGATCCCACATGAGGGACAGGAGAGTTTCTCTAGTTCAAGTCTGCTTTTGAGGGTACCAGCCTTGGATGTCCCCTGGCATTTGAGTTTCTCTGTAGATTTCTTGGTCTGGAACTTCCTACTGATAGCTCAAGTTCGGAGGCCCTCTCAACCTCCAATCTGCTCTGTGGGGTACCTCAGTCTTGAGGGTCCCTCTTCAGGGCCCCTCTTGGTCTGGGAGTCCCTCCTGGGTTCCTCATTTTGGATGCTTTTCTTGGAGCCATATCTCTTGGCCTGGGGGAGGCTTGAACATCTGGATTCTCTGGCCCAACCCTCCTGAGAGGTCTTTGATCTTGCTTGGGCTCTAGCAGCTCCTTGGCCAGTGCAAGCTTTTCTTTGCTGGTTTCAGGAGCTGGGCAGTGGATTGGGGAGGGGACCTTCAGCCTGGAGCCTCATGGTGACACTCAGGAGTATGGGATCGTTGCAAGGGCTTAGGGGGCCTAGGACAGGTACAGAAGGTATGGTCCTAGCCAAGGTTTCTGTAGTAAGGGATTAAAGATAGGAATGGAGTTTGGCCTCTCCCAGTTCCTGTTACTCCAAAAGTCCCCCCTCTTTCCCCTATCTTGCCCTCCCACAGCTCACCCGCGTCACTCTCTGACCCGCTTTCCTCCCAGGGCCCTGCTCAGCATTTCCGTGGGGCCCTGTGGCTAGCAGCAGGCGCGGCCCCATCAGGATTGTGCTGAGCAAAGCAGCCCCCCGGGAGGATGTCGCATCCTAGATGACTCCCGGCCCTGTCTGCCCAGCTCAGGAGGGAGGGGTGCTCTGCCCTCTGAAAGTCTCTGCCAGGTTGGCTAGAGGGAAGGAGGCACTGATGGGTGATCAAATGGAGAACCCTCATTTCAAGGACCAGGCTATGAAGCTTTTTCCAAGCTAAGGGCCTGCATGGCCCTGCTGAGCATGAGCTTTGGGAGTGAGATGAAGTGGGTGCATTTTCTGCTGGGGGGGGGGCGGTGCGGGGTGCGGGGGTGGTGGACCTTTCCCTCAAACCAGGAGAGTAGATCTGACATGCATCCCTAGAAAGGATGCTGACTTGCTAGTGTCCATTGGGAAGTTCTTCCTGGGCTCTAGCCTTTTTCTCACACATGATAATCTCAGTCTTTCAGGGCCCCTATCCATTCTGTTTCCTACAGCACAAGGCTTTCCTGCTCTCCAGGCTTTGCCTGGCTCCAGGCTCGTTCATACCTCAGGATGTGTTAACCACAGAGCCAATACCAAACCTGGCTCTGCAGCCACAAAGCTTGGGGCATGCTGCTCTGGGGCCTCCCACTGTGGCATCCTTGAGTTCCTGAGGCAACACTGCCTCCCACCTTCCCATCTCCTCCCTTCGCTGGCCCAGCAATCTCCCTTGGGTCCCCTCCCACCTCTCGTGCCTCTGTCCAGCATCTCTGCACTCCTTTCTTCATGGTTCCCTTTCCCTTTGTTCTCTGCTTGTCTCTTGATATTGTTCACTTATCAGGTTTCTTCCTTATATCCTCCCATTGCCCTTGTCTGTGGGTTCTTCACTCTGCTTCTTCCTTTCCTCTCACTCCTCTGCGTTCCCAGGCACACCTCTCTTCAGGCCTTTGTCATCTCTGCCTGGCTCCTCTACCTCTGTCCAGCCCTGAGCATTTCTTTTACTTGAATCTCTCAGAGCCCTTGCTGAATTCTCTCATCACACCACAGCACCATTTCTTGGCCTCAAACCCCTACTCACAGGTATGTGTCTTCTTTGCAGCCAGCAGTTCTGTAAAGAGAAGGGGGAAGGGGGGGGGTCAGAGTCATAGTAGAAGAACCTGCTGGGAAACACTTCCCTCAGTCACAGGATCCCATCCCATTCCTTCCCAGCAGAGCCTGGTGTCTGAGGAGAAGCTGGGCCTCCATTGGCCAGGCTCTGTTTGCTTCCTTCTCTACCCTTCGGCCATGCTAGCCCTCTTCCAGGTCCTCAAAGTGCCAGGCTCCTCACTGCTTCCAGAACTTCCCCATGTCACTCCTTCTGCCTGGAGTGCCCTTCCCTTGAACACCCCTTAATCTAGCCAGCCTCTCATCATTCCTCAGATCTCAGGTTATGTCTCTTCCTCCGAGAAGCAACACAGGCTTTCTCCCCTGCCGTAGGGTTTACTCATTCAGCACTTTGCATTTAATTTCCTGGCACAAACCATGTCACCTAACTGCCACATATGTGCCATGATCTACAGAATGGGCTTTTCTTGCTAGACTGTAACCCCTATGAAGGCAGTGCCTATGTGTCTTGTTTACCTTGCTCTTCTGGCAATATCCAGAACACTTCTTAGTACTGGATGCATTAGAGGTTGTAAAATAAATATTTTTCACTCAGAGTGATATTTGTATGTGAATAAAATCTCTTGGTTGCTGATCTGTGCCTGAAAGTTACAGAGGTGTGGGAGTGGGAGCAAGGTGGAGTGTTTGGAGGAAGAGGTGGGGGAGAATTGCAAACACAGACCCTTCTCTGGCTCCACTGGGCAGGCTTCACTGGCCTGCAACCTACTGAGAGAAGAATCCTTTTTTCTCTGCTGCTGTGCTGTGTGGCTGGATCTGGTAGAGACTAAGCAGTAAGGACCACAGGAGGGTGGATGAGGTTTTGCTGTGATGCATGGATCCCTAGAAGGAGCAGCTGCTGAGGGAAAGCCTCAGAGCATGACTGTGGGGGCTGTTTATTCAGGTAGCCTCTGAGAAGAGGCTTCCCAATCAGATCTTGATCCATTTCCTATATCCACATAGCAGCTCTGCCCAGAGCCCAAGCCCAGTCTTTTGTCCCAGATAGCCCTCTAGCCCTGCCTAGAGCTTCTCTAACTTTTGACTCTATTCTCCTGTTACTTTTTTCCTTCTGCTGTCCAAGCTTGACACATAAACTCTCTCCCCAGCACACTGCCTCCTATCACTGTCCCTCAGCCCAGGAGATGGTCCCCAGTGGCAGGTTTCCTACATTGGGCTGCCATGGTGGCCAGTGGGCCTGGTGGCTGGGCTTGCTGGAGTTGGGGAGAAGGTCTGCCCAGAGAGGAGTGGCTGTTCCCGGCCCCTCCCACTTCTCCTCCCTCCATCCTGCCTGGCCCCACCCAGCTTCCTCCATGACGTGGCAGTCGGAAGGGCCTCCAGCCTTGCACCTCAGAGCTGCCCTGGGTGGGGGTTCCTCCCTTTGCTTGCTTAGGCAGTTAGTTCTTCCTCCACCAGGTGGCCCTGGAACTTGGCAGCTCTGGCACTTGCACTTTCTCCTGGGTGCTCACACTGACCAAGCATGTGTGTGTGTGTGGGGGGGGTGGTTGTGGGGAATCCTGCTCTGAGGGCCTCCTGAGTTAGTCTACTGGTGGGGACAAGGACTGCCCAACTCTCTGCCCCTTCCTATGTTTGGCCCAGGGCCTAACATTCTCTGTAGAAATGAAATCCACACTTCTGGGCCAGCAGGAAGGGAAATGCTAGGTTAGTGGACATGGCAGCTGACAAGGTGTGGTTGCTGCGCTACCCCCTCCACAACTCCTTAATGGCAGGTTCCCCCACTGATAAACGAAGTGACTGGCCTCCTGCTACTGCTGCCCAGGGGCCAGGCCAGCTGAGATCAGTGAAGAAGGGTCCCGCCACCTCTCAGGGGCAAACTGACACCTGGGAAGCCACCCTGTTCAAATTCCTCACTCATCCAGCTTCCCTCATTCATCCTTTTCTCCTTATCCCAACCTGTCTTCCTTCTTCCCTTCTCTCTTTCTTTCCCCTGGATGGGGTTCCTATTTCGCCCCCTTTTCTATTTCTCCTCTGTTATTTCCCTAGCCCCTTCTCCTGTTTCTTCTTCAGTTTTTGTCAGGAGAGTTTAAGACAGGACTTGTCCTGTCTTACCCACCCACTCTCTCCTACCAATCCATCTCTCCCTTTCTCTATGTTCTTGTCTCTCCCCCTCACTTCTTGCCCAGCCTCTTCCCATCTCTCCCCTCCTCTGAGCCTTCTGGCAATCCCATCCAGCTGCCTTTAGGGCTGTAGGGCCTCTTACCCCTTGAGGCTCGGTGGTATCTCTGTGGGGCCCTGTCCATGGGGCAGCTCCCTTGGTGCCGTCCTTGCTGCCCTGGCTGCCCAGGAGGGCAGGGAGCAGGGCCCAGGGGAGGGAGGAGGGAAGAGGGAGGGAGCACCTGGCTGTCAGCAGGCAGGGGAAAGGAGTGGCTGGCAGAGCGTCTTGGCACTAGGAGGGGACATGGGGAGAGACCAGGGGGCCAGAGTTTGGAGCCTTAAGGCAAAACAAGATAGGTGAAAGGAAGTGAGCTATCATTTATTGAGCACCTACTATGTACTAGGCCTGTTGCTAGGGCCTATCTGAAAACCTTGCTTTTGCTGTATGCAGTTCTTTAAGATGCTGCCACAGGGAAACATTGATCCCAGATTTACCAATGAATCAATGATGCTTAGCAATATCAATGACTTGCCCAAGGACTTGCCCAAATGCTATAGGTGACTGAGTTATGGTTTGAACCTAGGTTTTTGACCTCAAAATCCCATGGTTTCTACTAGACTAAGACAGATGACAGAACGGTGAAGATGGGTAGGGAATCCCGAGGGAAGGGCACGTTTGGGGTTATTCTGCCTCTTCTCTGCAATAGGGTCAGATTTATTCCTGTGGATCTTCAGTTCCTTGAAGATGGTGCCTGCTTTGTCCCTGCCCCCGACTCTGCTGCCCCTTCCTTGGATCTCTCTGACTTACAGATGCTCCCACATGCTCCTGATTGGGGACTAGGTAGAGGCAGGTCTGGAGGACTGTGTGGAGATAGAGGAGAGGAGAAGAAAGGAAAGGAGAGGAGAGGAGGGGAGAAAGGAGAGGAGAGGAAAGCAGAGGATAAAGGCTACACCAACCAGTTGGGAGGAGAGCACCAGGTCCAAGACTGCCTACACCAAATTCTGCAGTGGAATCTGAGGAGGGCTTCTGTGGATCGGGGATGCTGTAGTCTCCAGCCAGGCCTTGACCCAGAGTTTGATTAGCTGGGCCTGGCTCTCCTGGTTACCCAACAGGCAGCTGGCCAGGGGCCAGGCTGCAGCGAAGGCTCCCTGGCACCACCTCCCTCCTGCTCTCTTCCAGCTGGTAAACAGCAGAGCAGGAGCCAGCCATGCCATGGCCTCGTGACTCACCCACTCCCCCACCTGGTGCACGTGGCACCTGGCGTGGAGAGGGCAGACAGCTGTCCCTTCCTCCTTCTGCCCTCCCATCTTGCATCCTCTGCTCTTGCCCCACCCTGGAACTTCACTGCTGCCATCAGCACCTTTCCCAGAGTCTCCCAAGGGCTGCAGCTTAAGGGACAAAGGTTAGAAAAGGAGAAGGACTTTCTAACTCAGGGTAGTTGACAAGGGGCTAGGGAATAAGTAGGGAGTGGGGGGGGGGAGCTTTTGAGGCTCTTCTTGTACTGAGAGTCTGAGGGTATGTGCCGGTGCCTCTAAGGCTCTGATTATTCCATGTCCTGGTAAGTGCTGGCCCAGGGTACACTCTGTCCAGAACTTTGTGTTGGTCTTTCAGGGTTCTGTTCCTTGGGCAGCTTTGGCAAAGTTCTGGTAGTGGTGCCCTGCCCAGGACCCCTGGCTGATAAGTAGAGTCAGCAAGAAGCAGGGGAAGAGAAATGCTGAGCAGTACTGCTCTCCCCTCCCCAGAACTGCACGGTGTCCTCTCTGTCTCTGTCACTCTGTCTCTCCTCTGGTCTCTGCCTGCCTATGGCTCTTTATGGTTTTCTGTGACTCTTCTGCTCTCCCCTCTGTCTCCTCTCCTCTTTAGGCCTCTATTCCTATGTGACTCTGAGTCCCCCAGGCTCCTTCCTGACTACCCCTCCCCCAAATCATAGGCAAAGGGTGGGGGGTCAGGAAGAATGCTTGTGGGTGGGCATCAGCATTGTGTCCCCAGATACTGCCCCAGATAACGCAGGTGTGGCTGCCTCTCCCAGTTGTGCTACTTCATGCTGCTATGTGGGGTAGGCAGGAAGTGACTGGGGGTTGGGAAAACAAGGTCCTGGCCTCTATACCTCAAGAGTCACAGCTTCCTAAGCATTCTACTCCCCAAGTATGGATGGTTTAGATTCTTTCTCCTCAGGACAAGAAGATACCTAGGTGTTCTCTCAGGAAGTCCCCTCTGGCCTAACCTTCCTCCCTCCTGCCGCAATCACAGTCCTTTTCTGGAGGAATCAGACCTTTCAAAACAGGGTAGTGGCTATTTCCTCCTCAAATACATTCTTATGCAAGAAAGAGGCTGATAGGAATCAGACAATCATTTCACCCCCCACGTGCCCAGTCCTCTTATCAGGCTTGGGAATCTTAAAGCAGGGGGCAAACAGCCTGGAGGGCGGGGGGGGGGGGGGGGTGTTGGCTTGGAACTGGGGAGCAGTCACCAACTTCTCTTTCCCTTCCTCTCCACCCCCTAAACCACAGAAACCACTTAAAGCTCAGCGTAAGCCTGCCCTTCCAGGTAGGGCCTGGGGGTAAAGATGGAAAATATGTGGCGCTCAGACAGCTGTGGTGCTACACACAGTCCCAGCTCTATCCATGGAGGGCCATCTCCTACGGGACCCTGATCCAGTGATTAGGGAACACCTTTCTTAGGATCCTAGGGGCTTCATGCCTGGGGAGACCTCAACCCACCAGAGTGACTTAGGGAAGGAACTGTGTCCCAACCATTATAAAAAGGACAATACAGATTCTGTAAACATCTGTAGCCTCCCATCTTACAGCCTGCAGCCCTCCCTTTCCTGTCACAAAGGCCACTGTGGGTGGAGAAACAGTGGGAGTTTGACCCTAGCTCCTGGTCTTGAACTTTCTTTCCATGGTGACCCTGCTGTTCCTCTCATTCATCAACTAACATTGAAAGTCACACAGGCTTGGTGGCTGCCTGAAAATCAGGAATTCTGAGTTTTGGAGTAGAAAGACTTGTAGGAGTGTGTGGTCTGCTGGGCATCAGCTGTGGGTCTTGAGGCACACACAACCCTCAGAGATCACATCAGTCAAAAGGGGCAATACCAGTGGTCCTCACTGTTGTTGGCGGAGGTGCTTTGGGGCCTGAGCAGTCTGCACATAGGAGGGCTTCTCAGGACTCATTTGCTCCCAGGGTATGTTTCTGTGGCTTTAGCTAGCCAGGATGCTCCTCCAGGGACTGTGCGGCCCCCATCACAGGGACGGATGGGGTGTAAATGCTGAGAGAATTGCTCCAGAGAGGACTTTCCACCTCACAGCCTCCCTTGAGCCTCTGGGCTGGGGTTAAGGGGTATTTGAGTAGAGCCTTAATTAGAAACCTTCTCTGTAGCCAAGACTGATCTCCAGGGGAGTTTGCTTAACTTCTCTGATCTCTTTCCTCCCTTGTGAAACAAGAATAATCATACTTATTTTACTGAGTGATTGTGATGACTGAGATAAGACTGTGGATAAAGTACAGGACCTGGTACAAAGTACTACAGTAGGAAAAAAAAAAAGTGTTTCATGTTTCATTTTTCATTCCCTCCCTTCCTTTTCCATTCCTATAATCTTCCCTTCCTCTTTATCTAACCCTTCTTTCTATTTCCTTCCTTCCTTCTTTCCTTCCTTCCTCCCTCCCTCCCTTCTTCCTTCCCTTCCTCCTTCCCTCCCTCCCATTTTCTTTCTTTTTCTCTATATCCTATCACCAAGTAACATTCTTTACATCTTCCTTGGTCATTTTGTAATTTGTCTGATCCCTATGTTTTGATCACGGCTGTATGCAATGCCTGGAACCTCAGAGACCCTCCCTAAGTATATGTTGAAGGAATGCATGAATGAAGGTAATATGACCTCTTCGGTTTCTTTCCGGTTACTTTCAAATCCAGCTATTCACTAACGGTTGTTATGGGAGGAAGTGCAAATGCAGTACAGTAGTAGAGCTAGAACTAGATCTGTGAGTGGACCTCCTGGATTCCACCATGTACAGATTCCAACTACCATGTGAAATGACTGAAGAGATATCACCTTGGGGAGGGAGGACCCTTTCAGAGTGACCTGAAGGGAGGCAGTACTTGGCAGTTGGAGATAATTATAGTGAGGTGATTAGGAGCCCTGAGTTTGGAGCCAGACTTTCTTTCAAGTCCTAGTTCTACTTTTTGCTAGCTGTGTAAGGTTCAAAGTCACATTGGATAACGATATTACGTGCACCCTTATGGCAGTTGCTGGACTTGACAAGTTGTTGGAACTGTTCCTTCTGTGAGGATAATCTATGTGTAGCTGTTAGCACTTGTGATTATTTGGTTAATACTACCACCTGGTGGACACCTGGAGTAAGGGCATGGTGGTGGGGACCTACTGGGCCAAAGGACAAGGAAGCCTGGAAGTCATCTGAATGGAGTGTGTGAGTGTGTGTATGTGTGTGTGTGTATACTTGTTGTTATAGAGTTGCTGAGGTTTTGTTGGAATCCATCAGGCTTAGCCCTGGTGCAGGGCACAGCTGGCACCATGGGAATTAAGAAAGTGTCCAAAGGGGAGGAGGAAGAAGCTAAATTGGCTCAATGTCTTCCCTCCTTCCTCCTGCAAGCCTGGCCTGAGCCAAGAGGAACAAGTTCCCAGGTAGGTGGAGGTAGAGAGAAGGCCACTGCTGACGTCAAGGACATCCAGGTAAGAGGTAAACACAATCTGACCCACATTTATTTCTCTGTCTTTCACTCCCTCCTTCTCCTGGTCAGATGCCTGTTATGACATCCCCAAGAATAGTTCTCACACTCAGGTACCACCCACCTCCCCTATTTGTAATGTCCCAGATTTCCAATCTTGGGACATTATATCTCAGTCTTTGGAAATGGAAGTGCTGCTTTGGTTCTTGGCTCCAGCCTTGACCCCAGGCAGCACAGGCGTGGAAGGAATAGGCAGGAAGGTTAAAGGGAACTGTGTTAGTCTGAGGCTCAAAAATTTCTCTTTCTTTTTTTTTTTTTTGTTGCAATACTAGTGTTTGAACTCAGGGTCTCACACCTGCTAGGCAGGCACTCTACCATTTGAGGCACTACACCAGCCCTTTTTTGTGTTGGGTATTTTTTAGATAGGGTCTCCTGAACTATTTGCCCAGGTTGGCTTTTTTTGACCTGCAAATCTCCTGATCTCTGTCTCCCAAGTAGCTGGGATTATAGGTGTGAGCCACTGGCACCCAGCAAAAATTTCATTTGTCTTCAGGACAGATGTGGGCATAAGGGGTAGATAGGGACGGAAGGACTTATTTCCTCTGTACAAGGGAACCTCCAGGGGAAGGTGGCTTATGCTGGTTTCTGTCACGGAGTTTTTTAGGACAGGGACCCTAGGATTTACACAACCCAGACCTCCTAAAGTAGCATCTTTTGGGGATGAGCCTAGGATTTTGCATACTTAACAAGCTTTTCTAGGATTTGTGATACCTGGTTATTTTGATGCTCCTCTAAGTTTAAGAACCACTGCTTAAAGTCTGCTGCAGCTGGGACAATCTGAATTTCTTCCATCCTGTGTATGGCCTGGACAGAGGGAAAAAGAGTAGGCTGCAAACCCCACGGTGTAGGGTGCTGACAATGGGAGAGATCCAGCTACAGACAAATGGGCATTTTATTAATAAAAATAAATACACGATGGGCAGATAGCAATAATGAGGACTGCTGACCCACTGGAGTCCTCCTGAGGAAGCTGCAGTGTCAGTCTACAGGCTGAGATGGGAGGGGGCCAGGGAGGACCCTGGGCCTAGCCCTCCACCCAAGGGGGGCAACAGGGCAATAAGGGGTGTCTCGCACTCCCCCAGCACCACGTCCCTGCGTAGGCCTGCACCCCTGTCCAGCACCTTGGCCCTCAGACTGCGGGCGGCTAGGTCTGGCGGGCAGAGCCCATCGAAGAAGAAGTCCTCATTGAAGATGGGGTTGGCGCTGCACTTGACCACTCGGCTGCGCTGGGCTCGTGGCCGGACGCGGGGCTGCAGTCTTAGCACCACGCAGCAGCCGCCGCCGCCGCTCCCTGGGCTGGGCGGTGACCTGGGCAGGCCCTCGGCGCTCACCAGGCGAAGCCGCAGCCGCCCTGGCCCCGCCTGGTAGGCTGCGGAGAGCCGCAGCTGCCCGCCGCGGGGCCCGAGGCGCAGCACGCTCTCCTTGGTGGGCCGCAGCTGGCAGCAGAGGAAGTCGAGGTGGAAGAGCGGCGGGGTGGGGGGCCCTGCGCGGCGCGGCGCGTACGGGCCCCTGCCTGTGGATCTGGGCTCCTCCGGGGACAGCGAGTGCGGCCTGGGCGAACCAGGCCTCGGGGAGCTTAAGGGCGACGGGTCAGGCGACGACGCCGTGTCGCTGTCGGGGGCTCGGCATAGGCGCAGGTCCGGGGCAGAGACGTGCAGCCGAGACTGCGCCGGGGGGAGGCCTCCAGCCAGGCCGGGTAGAGGCGAGTGGAACAGGGACTCGCGGCGGCGCGTGTGCGGGCTCTCGGGGAGGAAGGCCCAGCCCTCGCGACCCGCCAGGTGTGGCAGCGAGCAGGCCGCGGTGATGCCGCGTCCTCCTATTTCGCGCCAACTCGGGGGCTCAGCGCCTCCTGTGTCAGGGAGCCGAGGCGGGATGAAGAACTGCGGGATGCGGTCCGGGGTGAGGACGTTGGGGTACGCGCGCGTCGGCGGGTGGGGGGCGCGGCGCTTAGGGAACAGGTTGGAGGGCGCCCATCGGGACCCGGGCTCCGTGGTCCCCACCCTGTAGCCGGCTTTCTCCAGGAGCCACATGCAGTGGGTGGGGGTAATGAAGTTCCACGGGACCGAGAGGGTCCAAATCCTGCGACTCCGTTGGGAGGGCTGGACGGAGCTGGGCTGAGAGGAGATAAGAAGATCCTGAGCTCCGTGATGCTGCAAGCAAACACCTTCCGGTCCACCGCCGCCCTTGTCCTTAGACTCATGGGGCGCAAACACCAGCGTGCTCTTGTCCCCGACTCGTGGGGTGCAAGACCTCTATTTGAGCAGGAAAAGAAAGAGGCGGCGAAGTCTCGGGGGCTGGAGAGAATGGAGCACAGGGCCAGTTACATTTTCAGATGCAGGCCTCCGACACCCAAGTATGCAGACCTCCCGTTACTACTGAGGATGCCTCACTCACCTCAGAGTTAGAAGGCTCAACACCCACCAGAACACTAAGGGTTTACTACCAGGAGAAACAGTAACACTGGCGTAACCAAAAGGTCTGTGGTTACACACATGGACCCAGATCCTGAATCCCGCTCCGAGCTCTCGGCCCTTGCCCAGGGTGGGAGAGGGAGGGGTCCTGTGTGGGCTCCTCCCTTCTCCCCTGCCAATTCCGAAGATCTGAGGTCTCTTTTAAGATCTGGCCCGGCGCTCCTCGAGGTTCCCTCCAGGGCCCAGGCTGCCCCGGCTGCTCCTGGTTCTCAGCCCCACCTGCCTCCTTTGGCTCCTCCCTCAAGTCCCTCCTGGCCTTCTCAAGTTGCTCCTGTCCAGAAAGGGACTCGCTTCTGCTCCTGGCGGCCAGGAGACACGCCAGACTCCTGACCTGAAAACGACCACGGCTGGTGCAAGGAGATGCTCCTCTCAATGGAGCACAGAAAACCACCCGCTCCCTTCAGCCCTGAGGGCTCCCGGGCCTCTCAGCCCTAGCACAGCTCGTGTCTGCCTGGCGGGGCCAGGTAGTTGGCTCGCGCCTCCTACTGTCCACTCTTTTTCTTCCTAAGAAACCAAGGCAGCACAAAGGCAGCATTGATTCCCGCCACCCCCAGGAGCGACTGGGAAAGCTCCTCAGCTGTGCACTCACCGCACCCTTGCACCGAGTCAGGGGGACTGACATTTCCACCGTCTGTTTCTGCCCGAGAGTCTGGGACCATGACCAGCTCCGTTGTGCACCCAGAGCGCTGGCCTTACCTGTGGGTGGCCACTGGGTCCTGGTTCTGGCTCTGGCTCGGAGGCGTGCAAAGCTCTAGGGGAGTAGTTTCCTCTCCTGCTTGCTCCCCCAGCCCAGTCCTTCTGGGAGGAGCTGGCAGGGGCATCCGCTGCCTACGTCTGACTTCTTTTCCTGGATAAACACTGCTCTGTCTCCCTAACCCTCAGCCTTCTTAACTTCTTCCTCCAGCCAGAGCCAGATTTCTAGCAGCAACCTGCTAGACCTAGATCTAGGCCATTTGAGGGTTGGAGATGGCTACAGAAGGAGACTGCCATCAGTGGCTAATGGCCACTGTTCTTTCTTGGTGTTGCACCAGCCCCACCCCCAACCCTCCCAGGTGAAGCCCATAGCCACACAAAGCCCATCTTCTGCAAAACCCTCCTTGCTGTGATCCTGTTTTGGTCCCCAGTGTTGTGTTCTGAAGCCATCCCAGTAGTTCCCAGGCAGAGTAGCTTGCAGTGACCATTTTTCTGGATTATAAGAGCCCAAAGAAAAGTGGTCAGAGTTAGGATTTCTGACATAAAGCACTGAGAACAGAGCAGGTTCCAATAGTGAGTCAGATGCCCACCATCTTTGGGAGATCCCAGGAACCACCAGAACCCCTGAGAAGATGACACTATTCATTGTACTCAGGCACACACTTACCTCCCTCTGTCTTTCCAAGGCATCAGCAAGCTCATTCCCTCCTTAGGACCTTATCTTAGGCTGTTTCCTCTGCCTTGCTCTCCCTTCACCTTTCGGATCTGGAGGCCCTCATTGACACTCTCTTATCTGTATGTTTTTGTAGCACCATACACTGTTCCTTTATGACACCAGTTACAGTGTTACTTTCTATGCCATATCCCTAATTTTGAGTTGTGAGGACTGAACAAGGTAAGTAACACATGGGCATTAGACTAACTTCTGCAAAAGTCTGAGGAAACAGAAAACCCAACTTGACCTGACTTAACAATAAGGACGTGTGTGTGTGTGTGTGTGTGTGTGTGTGTGTGTGTGTGTGTACTGGGAACAAGAAGGACATTTTTGACTTCATTAACAAGTTCAAAAATAGGGTAGATGCAAGGAAGTTTTTTGTGGCTTCATTCATTCATTCAACCATAGTTATTGAGTATCTACTAAGTGCCCAGACACTGTTTAGAATTCTGGGAAAATAGGAAAGACAAAACAAATCAATACCCTGGTCAAATGTAGTTTACACTTAACAGAGGAAAGAAAGACAATAATAACAATACATTAGTAAAAATATAGTTTATTAGATGGACATTACTATTGAGGAGAAAACATAGAGAGCATGACAGAGGATGCCGGGAGGGTTTGCAGTTTCAATAGAGTGGTCAGGGATGGCCTGAAGGTAACATTTTAGTAACAATGTGAAGGAAGGAGGAGGGTTTAAGAAAAAAAGTCATTCTAGGCAGAAGGAATTACAAATGCAAAGGCCCTGAAGCAGGAGTATCCTTGGAGTGAGTGGTCAAGGGGGCCAAAGTCCAATGTAGTTGAAACAGAACAAATGAGGGAAAGATGAAGTCAGAGGTAATAGGGCCAGAATACTGGAGCTTGTAGACTTTATAACATTTTTAGCTTTTACTTGTGGTGAATTAAGGAATGATGTGGTTTGATTGCTGTGTTAAAGGGTCTGTTTGGTTAAGAATAGAATGAAGAGGAGCCAAGCACCAGTGGCTCATGCCTGTAATTTTAGCTACTTGGAAGGCTGAGATCAGGATGATCATGGTTCCATGCCAGCCTGGGAGAATAGTTCTTGAGTCTCCATCTCCAAAATAACCAGAGCAAAATGGACTGGAGGTGTGGCTCAAGTGGTAGAGCACCTTCTTTATAAACTTGAAGCTCTGAGTTCAAACCCATTTAAAAAAAAAAAAAAGCAAAAGGACTGTGTGCAGGGTAGCTAGGAGTGGTAGAGCACTTGTCTAGCAAGAACAAGGCCCTGAGTTTAAGCTTCAGTACAGAAAAAAAAAAAAAAAGAATAGAATGAAGGGGGTAAGGGTAATGGTAGGAACCAGATAGGAGACTGCTAGAATAATTTTGGCCTCAGATGAGATGAGTGGGACACAGATTACGATTGTAGTACTCAGTTTCTGGATATAATCTGAAGAGAATCAATAGGACCCTGATGAATCCAAAGAGAAAAGGTAGTCCAAGGATTTTGACCTGGCAATGGAAGAATGGAGTTACCATTCTTTTACTGAGAGGGGGTGGAAATATCTGGTGCTTGGTTTTGGGTTTGTTAAGTTTGATATGCTCATTAGACATCTAAGTGGAGACATTGAATAATTGGATATATGAATCTGGAGCTCAGAGGAGAGGTCCAGATTGGTGGTAGAAATGTGAGTACCAAGTGAAATAAAGATAGAGTTTAAAGTCATGAGACTTGATGAAGTGTTGGCAGAAAAGAAAAAGGAACCTGCTGTGTCAGATGCTGAGATGAAGGTAAGATGAGGGTTGGCATTGACCATTGGATTTAGCAATGAGAAGTTACTGATGACTTTGACAAGAGCAATTTTGGTGGAGTGGTGGAGGCAAATGCCTGATCAGAGAGGACACAAGAAAAACCTGGGGGGGGAAGAGGGTAAGGGAGAGAAGAGAAGAGGGAGAGGAAGAAAGAGAGAGAAACTCTCTTGTGGAGCTGGCTGAAAGCTTAGAAGAGAAGTGGGGCAGTGGCTAGAGGGGAAAGGAGAACCAAGAGAGTTTTTTTTTTTTTTTTTTTTGGTGGTACTGGAGTTTGAATTCAGGGCCTCATGTTTGCTAGGCAAGTGCTCTACCACTTGTGCCACACTATCAGCCCCATTTTGTGCTGAGTATTTTTGAGATAGGGTCTTGCAAAAACTATTTCCCTAGGTTGGCTTTGAACCGTAGTCCTCCTGATCTCTGCCTCCGAGTAGCTAAGATTACATTCATGAGCCACCAGTGCCCCACCAAGAGATAATTTTTAATTGGGAGAAAGAATGGCAGGTTTGTAGGCTGACAGGAAAGATTCAGTAGAAAAGGAAGAACATTTGCTAATGCAGATGACAGAAGTGTTGGAATAATGCTTCTAAGTAGATGAGAAGAAATGAATACCATGCATAAGAAATAGATCTAGGGATTGTTCTTTGTCTGCTGTGTAGACAGTTCACCCTGTGCCTGTGTGGAGAGAGGCACGTAGGTAGAGAGATATGAAGGTGAGAACTTGTTATCTTCTGAATGTTTCTAATTGCTCAATGAGGCAGAAAGCAAGTTTATCAGCTGAGAGTGAGCTGGCATTAGGGGCTGGTGTAGAGAGGATGGGTAATGGAACAATTCCTAGAAGAGCAGTAGAGTGAATGGGACAGGGAATTGCAGGATGATTGCTGGGCAGCATGAAAGGCCCACTTTAGAATAGTGGTCATGTCTGAACTGGATAGCAAGGTGTGTATTTTCTCTCCAGCTGTGTTCAGCCATACAGTGTGTGAGGGTGGGGTGGGAGTGGGCAGAGATTTGGATTTAGCCAGGGTTGTGCTCAATGTTTGACAGTTCATGTTTTTCTTTTTGTGGATATTAAATCAAGGTTGCAAATGAGACTGCACACCATGTGGGCTGTATAGCAGTGGGATTGAAAACTGACTACAAGTAATTAACAACCTGGTTGAATTAGTCAGTCTGGTCAGGAAAATGGCACTTGCTTGGTAGTTCAACAGGGGTTGGGGTTAGCACAGGGAACTCCTTACAAAAGTGTTTGAAGAGCTTAAAAGGCAAACAGGATGATGGTGGGGGTGGGGGCTGTAACTATGGAGACACAGTCACTACTTTAGTTACCTCCTGAAGCCAAGAGAATTGAAGAAATATCCTTATTTCCCCCTCCTTTCTGCCTCTA